GGCTTTTGAATGGGTTAGCAAAACAAATTAAAAATTCAAAGCTTAGACGAAAACGCGCTTAGATAAAAAGAGCCGCAAAAGGATAGCATGATTAAAATGAATTTTGCAAATGGTTAATTAATTAATTGCATATTGCGGAATTCGCCATTGACAATTTTTTAGAATTACATACTAAGATTTGTATGTACGTACATATGTATGTAAAAAAAAAAAACAAAAATATAATTAAGCATGGTTAAAAGCAATATGCACTGTGCAGATTTTTATTTAGGTTGGAAAATTGGTTAAATTAAGAATGTATTTCGAGAGAGAAGCGAAAGATACATATGATATTTTTTTACCCGTTGCTGTCACGGCGCACAGTGGGCAAAACCTATATATACGTGAAAATTATGTTAAAAATATATTCAATATACGAGCTTGCACAGGGTGGCGCAAAATTAATCATCCAATTTTGTTTTTGATTAACTTTTTCACTTAATAAAAAACTGAAATTTTGAGTGATGGAAACCTCTATTTGGACCTTTACAATTTTTACTGTTAAGTGGAAAAGATGATATCCGTTTTGTCGCATTTTCCATGGCTTTCCGCAAGATTTCCGACGATAACTGTTCGCTTTCCAGTCGAAAATTCTCCCTCAACTGCTCTAACTGCCTTACCTGTTAGAGGGTTAAAATAAAATATCACCATTCACAAATAACTGTTACCTATGGGTTTAATAAAAGTACAATTCGTTATGAAATTTGAAGCATTTTTTTGCTTTTGGTGCAATAAGTAGATACATACATATATTTATTGTATTTGGCTTGTTTCCCAATTTTAAAGTGAAAAATGCTTTTATTGACATAAAAGAAGCACAGAATTCATCATTTGTATGAAACGAATGACTAGATAGCAACCTTCAAATTATTGCCATTGGCATGCCCACCCACACACCAAGTTGCCATGGCCACTGATTTTGTTTTGGTCAACAATGAATTTACTGTAGCATAAGTACATACTTATCCGCTTGGCTTACCTAAATAATCTACCACCAGCTTAATCAAATAACACAAACAAAAACAGCATAACATTCTAGTTACGAGTACTAATATAAATAAAAAAAGGGAATATTTTGTGTGTGTGTTTTTTTTATACTCGTATACAGATACAAATACGGCGACGATATACGCATTAGCTAGCCACTTGGCAACAAATTGTCTACTCCCTCACAAACGCAATTTTTCATTTTGCTGTGAAAAAAGGGAAATTCACTTTTGAGTCACACACAATTTCGACTCGATTAGCAACTTCAATTGCATGGCCAGTGCGGACGAGATTATAGTCAATGGGCAGGTTATAACGCTGCCCACATTGGAGGTGGTCAAAGCAGGTGCGTAATAAGATTTATATTAAAATCACATTCGGGAAATTTATTCTAAGCACATAATATTTTTTCTTTGATTAGTTCCCATCATGGCGGCTGGCACTAACATCGATTGGTTGGTCCATCTCTACTATGCGCGACGTGATTTTATACGTTGCCGCTTCATAATCGATCGAGAGCTTTATAGAAGTTTGAATCCAGAGTATTTGTATTATGTCAAGGTATGTGTGTGTGTGTGTGTGTGTGTGTGTGTGTGTGTGTGTGTGTGAAAAAAACCAATCATTAAGGCTAGAGCTCAATACCAGGCATTTGGCGCTCTAATTAAGCTCATAAGTTTTATATGTACATTAGCGTTGCCAAATGTCCCGTATTTGCTGGGACGTCCCGTATTTCAAACTAAATTTGAGATGTTCCGTTGGGACAAGATTTTTCCGGAACTTTCGACAATTTCCTTATTCATTTCAACCTGTAAATGTGTGTACCGTTTTGAGTGTACTATAGCGCATATCATAACTATACGACTCTTTAATTTTAATTATTTTTGTACTAAAGTGAAAATTTCGCGCCTTTTAATTAGACCATTTTTTCCATATAACAAAAGTCGTCGAATATATCGAGTCCTAAGCCGAGCCCAAAAAGGCGTAAGCGACGAAAAGTAAATTTTTCAGTAGATATATACGGGTTTTGTTAGGAATAAATACGTTTTTATGTAAAAATAAGTAAAAAATAAAACTCGGAATATCTGGTGCGTTTATGATTTGACACGGGGTATATACTTAAAATATCAGGTAGTATAAAATTAATTTTACATCCATATGTATGTATCCACATCCATATATTTTGTTCGTCGTCATTTCTGAAAATGCTCCAGCTGAGTTTTTTTTTGCTTTAATTTCATTCGCTTGCTCTCAGACCCACCCCATGTCAAAAAAAAGCAAAATTATATCCTTAAAAATACAAAACTCATTGAGCTGTTTAGGACAGCCCGGTGAGCTTAGTTATCCAAAATTTTTTTGCTTCTCATCCCATACTTCAGAACTGTCATTTATTAAACAAGTGAAACAAATATTTTCAATGACTTTCTTTTATCGAAATTCTCATTCTTTTTTTATTAAGAATATATAATATTTTATCAGTTTTTCTTTCTAAACTTTACTAAATTTACAATGACTTACTACAATTTAATGCTATTCTTTAATATTCCCCCTCTCTCCACTGCTCCTTCATTCACACTCCGGTGATAACGATTTTCTTGCTCTCGCTTAAACTGGCTGCATATGTTCTGCTTCACTTACTTCTTGCTGACCGCCATTTAACTTGCTGCAAGCTTAGGGTTTAATTGACCGTGAAGAGGGCAACAGCATTGAGGCGCTACGTAATCTACAAAAAGCACTCGACTTAAATTCAAAAAATATTGAAACTTACAAGGAGATTGGCAAAACACTGTAAGTATAAATGTATAAAACATACGCGCGCTTATGTACATACATACATATATATATAATTATATTAGAACGTACCACCTTACACCCAAAACAAAAAAAGTTCGCCCTACACCCCTGAGTCTCAGGTATTTTTGTAAAGCGATTCCGAAAACATTTTTCGGTGGCACCTACATACATTCAGTAATACATTTTTTTTTATAGTTTTAATGGAATAATCAAAATACTTCCTTACCAAGAGTTTAATGATTTTTAGAAAGCTTTAATTTGCTGGTGTTGGGGCGGAACGTTAGGTTGATAAAACTGAGATCGGGTGGGTAAGTACTAGAACGGGGAACTTGAGATCAGTGAACTGAAGAACATACAAATTGTCGTCTAGAGACAAAAACATCGATATATCATACTTTAATAATAGACGACCCCTAAGTTTCGCCAATAAGGAAAAATAATTCACAAAATTGTGCTGCAAAAATACTTTACAAATCAGGGGTGTGCGGCGCACGAGTTTTTCTGGTACGGTCTAATGTAGATGTATGTACGTATTTAATTTTAGATATATTTGCACATATATATGATACATTCATACATACTTTTATATAATTAGATGGCCTCGACCGTGTTATACATACAGTACATAAATACTTATGTAGATATACATATACATATATCTAATGCAATGTTTTAGCAATTTTGACGGCGATGTAGGGTGTCTTTTTTTAAACTTCACTTTTTTGGCTTGCCTCAAATCTCTTTTACAACAAAGAACAAAAGTGCGTCGAAGTAAGTGCTTTAATGGTGGATAAAGTTTATATATAAGTACATGCAAACGTGCATCGTACGACTAGAAAAATTCACAAAATAAATTTGGATTAGTTTTTTTTTCACGAATTACAATGTACATATGTACATTAGGGTGGTTCATAAGAATATTAACATTCACATTTTGATGGGGCAGCCCTTTATTTCTATGTTTAAAATAAAGACATTAAGAAAAAAATTGAAGTCGCTTTCTGGGTTTGAAAATTTTTTTTTTTTTAATTCGCAAAAATTCTTCAACATTTTCACTTGAAATTTGATAACTTTGACATAATATGTAATATTATTACTGAAACTTAATCATATAAATGATTTATACAAAAGAAAAAAATTAAAATAATTTAATAAATTAAATTATTCATAAAAAAAATTCAGTATTTTTAAAACCTGGGAGAAGCGTCGCCTCAGCACTGATCCCTAAACAACAAAATAAAGGGGTGCGCTCATGCTGTTGATATTTTTAATGGCCACCCTAATGCACATACTTACTATTTACATACGTATAGCGGCTTACTACTTATCTTGTGTTTTCAAACGTACATATCGCTTATTTACTAAAAGACTGCGAGAATTTCGAGGCATTTTTAAGCTAGCTAGAAAAAATTGCCCATTAAGAGAGTTTGGGCCCTAATGCCTGCGCTCTTATTATTGAGTCACATCCAGAGCAATCGCATATCAGAGATACCAATACCACGAATACCCAATATGAGAGGTGGGTCTTAAAACAATACAGATTTTAATTAAGGAGTAAATATCAGAAATTGTCTGTCAATTTTAATAACTACATAATTTTAAACGCCTTCATAACTACTCGCTGTGTTACAGCTGTCGGACGCAAAACTTTAATATACTTTTCGCATTTACTGCGGCATCATTGCAGCTTTATTATGGGCCGTTTCAATCAGGCGTTAAGCATCTTTCGTGAAGCTGAAGAGCTCTCCCCACGGCAGGATCATGAAATTTGCCATTTCATTGGCGAATTGTTGCATCGTTCAGCGGCTGCTTGCAATCAATTTGCGCTCGCACGTCAAGAAGAGGCCGAGGCGAAAGTTTACTTTGAAAGGGCAGTGCAATCTGGCAAAAAATTGGAAAGCTTTCAGCGACTTGGTGAAATTCTGCGTAAGGAGAAGGATTACAGCAAGGCAATTGAGGTGCTCGAGAACTGTTTGCTGTGAGTGGCCCATTATTACACTTACATGCATATATACATTAGGATGGTCCAAAAATGCATGTGAAAAAGTAAAGTCGGAATTTTTATGCTCTCACTCCCAAGGCTTGTTCTATACCGAAAAAATATGCCCTTATTTTTTTATTTTGAAATGAAAAAATATTTAGAGGTCGCTCAAAGCGCCAAAAGTTGTGCATGTATTTTATATGGAGAAAAAAAACAACTTTTCGTAGAAATACTATATAATAGTTAAAAATCAATATTTAACTACCAGAAAACTCTGTTTATCTGCAAGAGATTCCCAATAATAAAACCCAATTGTTTATTTATTTTAGTATTATTTAGTATTAAAAAATGGTTAAATAAACAATTGGGTATTATTATTGAAAGTATCCTGAAGAGTACCAGAGTTTTTCGATCGACAAATATTGATTTTCAAGAATTCTATACCATTTATACGAAAATTATTATTTTTCCCATATAAAAATACATGGAAAACTTTAGGAGCGTTGAGCGACCTCTAAAAATTTTTGATTTCAAAATAAAAAAATAGAGGTATACTTTTATCGATATAATACAATCCTAGGGGGTGAGAGCATAAACATTTCGAATTTACTGTTTTTGGAACACCCTAGTGTACCTACATATTTGCTCTTTAAAAATGTATTTTTTATTTAAAAATATGTAGTTTGTGTATTTATTCGTAGAAGTAAGAACAATACCGCGAAATTTTGCGCTAAATACAAGCAACCACAATTTTTGTTTATGAAAGCGCGCCATTTGCATTGAAAAACATGCAATGAACAAATTTAAAATTCCACACTTTAGCCTTTGGGCTGTGAAATTCCAAAAACGCAACAAACATTTGTTTGAAAAAACTTATTATTAACCGATTTCAAAGAAACGAGAAGGTTATCAGTTCGTCGGAATATTTTTTTTAATGTATTTTATTTTTTTTAATGTAGGTTACCGCATAACTTTTGACCACATCAACCGATTTTTCTATTAGAAAGGTAGTGACTCATAGGTGGTCCCATACTAATTTGGTTTAGATCCGATCATTGGATCATGAAGAAATGAACGGTACTCCTAAATTTTTATATGCGAATTGAAGTCGGTTAGGTTTTTTGCTTAAAAATTACTTGTTGTAAGTAAAAAAAAAAAATGCAATCATATTATGGGTATTCATCTAAATGCTAAAATTCCTCGTTTACGCGTTTAGATGAATACCCTAATAGAGTTTTAATATACTTTGCTATTTTATAGTTTTTCATAGATCTTGAAATTTGTTATAGAATATTTGATTTCAACTTTTTACTTGAAAGATATTTTTCAATAATTTTCATTCGGAAAACGATTTTTATTCAATTAAGTTCATTTGTTATTTTTGTTATAGTCAAGATTTTGCAAATACTTAAAAATAAATAAATAATTAAAAACATAAACTATTCTACAACCTTAATAATTAATTTCGATACAACATATTTTTTTGTACAGTTTATCACCAGAAAATATTGAAGTTCTCACAGAAATTGGTGTGCTATATTTGAAAATCAACGAAACACAGAAGGCCTTTGATCGATTGTCAGAAGTCATAAACTTGGATAGGAAGTGCTCGAAAGGATTATTGGCTTATGGTGCCATATTGCAGGTAAATTAAATTATAAATATATGCATACACACATATGTAGATTAAATGAACATTTCAACCAGAGTGTTTATAATTATGAAACAACAACTTATACCGGATTTTCACTGGGCGCTAAATGACAAAAATTTTAATCACCAATTTGGGTATTTATGTAAACGGACCTAATGCCTTTCGATTTTTCGATTTGAATACTAAGTGGAAATTCAGCAATGGGCAAAAATATTTTAAATTTTTGCGAAGCAGATTTTAGAATTCTTTTACTTTGTGGAAAATGATTTACTCTAGACTTGCACTAGTTTGACACAGAAAAATAATAAGTTTAGACTAAAATGTCTTGGCTAAATGCATTTTTCTTAAACCACTTCAAATTCAGCATATTTCGTTTGAATACGCGTTCGTCTTGCACTTCACAGTTGCTTTTTCATATTTTCAAGACACAAAAATTTCGTTTTTTATTATCACTTAAATATGTTGTGTCTGTTGGGATTCGAATCCGGACCTTCTGGAAGCTAACAAGTAACCGCAGGCATCTCTGCACGCTCAGCCACAGCCAGCCATGTTCATAAATATGCCTTCAAATGTTCAGTTTCATTTGTGTGCAAGCAGTAAGTCGATTGTCCGACTCTGCATTTGATTTCAACAACATAAAAAAGCATTTGGCTTGAAGCACTTCAAAGTCAGTATGTTTCTTTTGCAGACGTTTAGGTCGACCATAAACTGCATCGAATAGAAAGTTCATTATAAATAAATTGAATTACAAAATTGGCAATGAAACTTCAAAACAAATATAATTTAATTGCATATTCTTTCGCTAAGTCAAAATTTATATTTGTACTTGAAAAAAAAAAAAAATTAAATTTAAGTGTTGCCGTTGCCAAAATTGAGTAAATTTGGCTACTTATCTTTTATTACCAAATTGCATACTGGAACAAACATTTAGCTTATGCGTTTGACATGAGAACACATACATACATACATACATACATACATATTACAAACCAACCAAACAGCTTCACTTAAAACTTTGGCTAACGTACCATAATGTCTTAATACACATTTCCGGCATTGAAATCAACCGAAAATGGAAATGTGCGTATGTATGTATTGGAGACTTACATATATATATATGTATGTATGCATGTAGTTTGGACATGCCAAACTTAAGAATGTAATCGAAATTAATTTTGCGGAAAGCAAAATTTAGTAACCGGGAATATTAATATGAAAAAGAGTGCTTAATAGTATTAGTTAAAAAGATTGTTGCGGACATAATAGGGAAATGATTAGAAACCTTATTTGAATACAGGCGTTTATCGTCCACCATAAGAAAGTTCATAATAAGGGGGTTAGAGAGTAGCCTTCTGCATGGCAATGATTCCATTTTTACATTTGTACTGGCTGTTCATCTACTACATATATGTATGTAGGAATGTTTGTATTTTTTTTATATTTGAAATGCATGCCAACAAATATGTAAAACACAAGTGTATACATTTTCCAACTTATATCAACCTTTGTCAACTTTTTACCAGTTTATCCCAAGTTTTTGTTTTTTTTTTTTCTTCTTTGAAAATCTGCATAAATATATACGTATGAGGCACAAACGTAAGCATGTGGAATAATTTAAGAAATTTTTTTCATTTCCTGCCTCACACTTAACCATAGTCGCGCAATGACATCGATGGAGCTTTGGGTAAATATCAAGAAATCGCTGCGACAGAACCGGACATCCCAGAATTGTGGAATAATATTGGATTGTGTTTCTTCAAAAAGAAGCAACAAAAAATTATTGCGGTAAGTAAGGAGGTGTTAAAGAGACGGAAAAAGAATGTACAAATGCGGTATAGAAAGTGTGTGTAACGGTTGCGAAAAAGGACCGGTATGCTTATATGTACATACATACATACATACATACATACATTCATATGGATATTTGCATAAGTCCGCATGTAAGAAATATTAAATTTTCAGCATGAATGTTGTTAGCTTGTTCATGAGCAGGCATCCAGCGGAGAGTTGTTTGCTTAAGACTTGCATACACACTAGGGTGGTCCACTTTTTCCTTCAGCCACCCTAAGAATTGCAGAATTTTGAAAATTTAAAGATCCCTTTTTTTTAATTGAAATTGACTGACATTTAATGGTGCTGCACAGTGGTCGTCATATTTTAAAACTGTGACAAATTAATTGGATAAAAATATTTTATTTAGAAATGTCCAACGCACTCAAAACTGACTTGCTGAGCAAGCCGTCGAATCCGTTCAATTCAACGAATTCTATCGTGGAACGTTGTAACAGTTATAAGTTGATAGCACGGCTAATTTTTCAAGAAATATTTTCTTCAAAAATAATAATTTGATCATAAATTTATTTTAGATATGTTCCCTCGTATATAGTAAATACAATTTTTCTAAATAAATATAGTTGTTACTCAACTGAAAATGACAGTTGATTTGACAGTTGTCAACCGAAAAAGTTCGTGGTACAGAACTCGAGATCAATGAGCCTTAAAACATAGTATATTCTTGGAAAATTTTACTTATTTCTATAGAAATTGACAGTCCCTTCGACTCTTAAGGTTTTAATTTGACGTAAAATTAACAGTTTATTTGACAGCTGTCAACGCTCACAGTTTTAATTTGACATACAATTTGTGATCAGCATGTCTAAAAATCTAATCAGTGGCATTTTTAAAAAAATTGTCTTATTATTAGAAAAATTCACAGTCCATTTGACAGCTGTCAGTTCTCAAGCCCTTGTATTTTACATGAAGAAAATTAATTTTTTCATAGAACTGCTATAAAATCTTTAAAAACAAAACTTTTTTGATCGAATATTTCAGAATTTCAGAATATTTTTTTTAAAGACTTCGAAGGGAAGTATTCTTATTCGCTTCATATAATTTCAAATTTTTATCAGATATTTAAAGTTATTAAAAAAAAAAAAATGAAAAACTGGAAGTATCCTTAATCGAAACAGATTTTTCCGATCGACAAATATTGGTTTTCAAGAACCCTATATATTTTTTACGAAAAAGTGTTTTTTCCCAATAAAAAATACATGTTAGACTTCATGGGCTTTGAGGCAGTTCTAAATAACATTTTTTTAATAAAAAATACAGGTATTCTTTTTCCATTTAGAAAACTCCTAGGTAATGAGATCTTAACATGTTAAACTGATATGTTTGGACCACCCTAATGCACATTCTGATAAAGGGCAAAAAGTGTTTTACATGTTTTTATTTCGAATAAATTTCGAATAAATAATTTTATCGCTGCGCATCAGCAACTAAATCGCCCACTGTTGTGCGGAATGCAAATAAGAATTCTTCATAGGATACGAGTGTACCTCAATGCAGACAGAAAGCAAAAGAAATTGTTAAAGTGTCAATTAGAGAAAGTATTTATAAATATATGTTTAGATTCATATCTATAAATGTATACAGTAAAAGGTGAAATTATTCTAGCAAAAAATATCTCCCTTTCACAAAAAAAATTTGTAAACTGCTTTTTCTTGAAGATCTTCGATAGACAAGTTCACGAAGGTATCACGACTATCAATAACGACTGAAAATAAAAGAAAGTTATTAGTAGTGTACTCGATTTTTTTTTGAAATCCTCAGTTAAACAATTTTTACATTTTCCTGATTGCTTGCAAATCTGCGTAACACATTTTTTATATTCGTAATCTATTTTTTTTTTGCTTTCTTAACTGCTTTGTTACTTTTATTTTTGTTTTCAGGCAATTTCTTCTCTACGTAAATCCATCTGGCTTTCTCCGCTGAATTATAATGCTCTCTACAATTTGAGTTTGATTTATATAACTGGTGAGTATGATAACAAATTTACATGCGTTTTATGAAGATTTATCGGAATGGATTACATATTTATTTTTTACATGTTCAATACTTTAAAATTTATCACAAAAATTAAAAAGGCAACTAAGCAAAATTTTCGAGCCAGTCGGCTTTTGATAACCGGTTTCGTCGCGGTTTTCCTTAATGCCATTTCATGCGTTCCGGTCCAGGGTGGTGTTTTCCTCTTCTCTACATTTACCATTTAAATGGCGTTAAGCACGGTCTAAAGTGATTGGTGTTACCAGTGTTATCTGAATACAGCGGTAAGGACCAGATGCAATTTTTAGTCTGAGCAAGAGTTTAGGTTTTGAATACACCCAATTCAACCTGGACCAGAAGAAGCATGAACTTGCCCATGTCTTAGTTGTAGCCCTAAGTTGAAATGACGTGGAGCCCATCTGTCCCTTTCTTACCTTGCCGCCTTTAGTGAGGTCTTTACTATATAGGCCGCTTGGCTATCAGAGTAGATGCTTGCTTTCCTTATTAGCATCACATCCTTCAGTACTATATTTAATGCTTCATTAACGGCAGCCACTACTACCCGAAAATCGCTACAGAATTCAAGAAGCCTAAGCTTGACGTTTACGGAGAGTATACAGCAGAAAACCCCCATCATCAATTCTTCTATCCAGCTTCGACTCATCCGTGAAAAGGTTCAATACACAATCCCACACCCAAATATTCTGCCGTCAAACGGTTGTAGTGCCATATAAGAAGAAGCAGACAGAAAACACCGTGCGACAGTAAATTTTACACACAAAAAATTTTATAGTAAAACTACGTTTTTCTCTCTAATTTCAGGGGTTTTTAAAGGACTTTGAAATTTGAAAATGTAATCACTTAAAAAAATTCTGTGCAATGAAGAAAAACAATATGACTATCAAATTAAAGGGAAAATTGTAGAATTCAGGCCAATCAAATTGTTTGGCGCATAAGGACGATTAGGTATTGAAAATGTCCTTTTAACATTTTATCATTGNTCGGCTTTTGATAACCGGTTTCGTCGCGGTTTTCCTTAATGGCATTTCATGCGTTCCGTTTCACGGTGGTATTTTCATCTTCGCTACATTTACCATTGGTGTTACCAGAGTTATCTGAATACAGCGGTAAGAACCAGATGTTAGAGTTAAGGTTTTAAATACTCTCAATTCGTCCTTGGCCAGAAGGACCATGAACTTGCCCATATCTTAGTTTTAGCCCTAAATTGAAATGACGTGGAGCCATCTGTCCCTTTCTTACTTAGCCGCCTTCCTTCCTTCCTTATTGACATCACATCCTTCAGCACTATATTTAACGGCAGCCACTACTGCCTGAAAAACGCTACAGAATTCAAGAATCCTAAGCTTGACGTTTACGGAGAGTATACAGCAGAAAACCCCCCATCATCAATCCTTCTATCCAGCTTCGACCCATCCGTGAAAAGGTGCAATACACAATCCCACACACACCGTGCGACAGTAAATTTTACACACAAAAAATTGTATAGTAAAACTACGTTTTTCTCTCTGACTTCAGGGGTTTTTAAAGGACTTTGAAATTTGAAAATATAATCACTTAAAAAAATTCTGTGCAATGCAGAACAGTATGACTATCAAATTAAAGGGAAAATTGTAGAATTAAGGGCAATCAAATTGTTTGGCGCATAAGGACGATTAGGTATTGAAAATGTCCTTTTAACATTTTATCCTTGAATATCCTTGATATTTTAGCATAAATATTTTCGAAAAAATTATATGTTAAGGACTAATTGCACTCGGCCACATCCCGGAATTTCGTCCTTCTAACTTTATTCGCTTAAAAAAATAGAACTAATTATAAGGAAATTTTCAATGCGGTTTCGTTCTCTTTCCTTTGGTACCCATAATGTTTGTTTACATTGGAATGAATTTTTTAAATAATTTTTGGAATGAATCATATCTTTGAAACTATAAAGTCTTTTTAAAAAAAATCCTCACATCAGAGAGAAAAACTTCAAACACAGCTTTATTATATTTGGCCCACAGTTTCGTGGGTATATTGACTGCTTCATGTGTTTCGAATTTTTTTTTGTTTTTGTCGCACGGTGAAACCAGCTAATTTTGCTTCATCACTTACTTATAATGCCGCTTTTTAACAGATCACATGACTTATACATAAAGCTGATTTCAGGCGAAAGCATAAGCCTATACCATTTTAGCTCCCTATGCAAGAATAGACGAAGTATTTGTAACGCATGTGCCTAGATGTGTACATATGTATGTACAATGNTTTATCATTGAATATCCTTGATAACATATTTTCGAAAAAATTATATGTTAAGGACTAAAAAAAGGATTAAAAGGAAATTTTCAGTACCTCTTCGTTCTTTTTCCTTTGGTACCCATACCGTTTTTTTACATTGGAATGAATTTTTTAAATAATTTTTGGAATGAATCATATCTTTGAAACTATAAAGTCTTTTTAAAAAAATCCTCACATCAGAGAGAAAAACTAAAAACGCAGGTTTACTATATTTGGCCTACAGTTTCGTGGGTATATTGACTGCTTCATGTGTTTTTTTTTGTTTTTGTCGCAGGGTGAAATCAGCTAATTTTGCTTTATCGCTTACTTATAATGCCGCTTTTTAACAGATCACATGACTTATGCATAAAGCTGATTTCAGGCGAAAGCATAAGCCTATACCATTTTAGCTCCCTATGCAAGAATAGACGAAGTATTTGTAACGCATGTGCCTAGATGTGTACATATGTATGTACAATGTATATTTTTTATGAATGCTCATTCATTAAAACCCAATATACTTGGCTGCCTAATTTGAAAGAATTAGTTACTGCATATCTACGTACAATCATTTCTACATTTTTTGCCAATCAATGTTAACAAATATTTAATGCCTACTTTCCACACCTTTTAACAGCTACAGTGATATACTTGGGTCGATTGTTGCTTTACCCTGAATTTTTTCATTATGTGTAACTTTCAATGTACATCATTTTATTATAAGCAACGTCAATGGCAATGCCGTCGTCAAAGGTAATCACAATCATTACCAACACATCCTGTTTGGTAGCCATGACATTCCTCTCGATGTGGTCTTTATATTGGTCCCAATTGATTTGGGTGGACAAATAAAAGATATCATATACATACTAGGAATGTTAATCCCGGGATTCCGGTCTTTTTAAGGTCACNCATATTTTTTATGAATACTCATTCATTAAAACCCAATATACTTGGCTGCCTAATTTGAAAAAGTTAGTTACTGCATATCTACGTACAATCATTTCTACATTTTTTGCCAATCAATGTTAACAAATATTTAATGCCTACTTTCCACACCTTTGAACAGGCTACAGTGATTTACTTGGGTCGATTATTGCTTTTCCCTGAATTTTTTCATTATGTGTAGCTTTCAATGTACATCATTTTATTATAAGCAACATCAATGGCAATGCCGTCGTCAAAGGTAATCACAATCATTATCAACACATCCTGTTTGGTAGCCATGACATTCCTCTCGATGTGGTCTTTATATTGGTCCCAATTGATTTGGGTGGACAAATAAAATATATCGTATACATACTAGGAATGTTAATCCCGGGATTCCGGTCTTTTTAAGGTCACAAAAATCCCGGGATTGTTGGGAAATAGTCCCGGGATTTTAGAAACTCCTTTTTTGAGCTGTATTGGCTATATTTCCTTTTTATTTAATAATTAATTTTTTTTTATAAATGTCTAGCCAATTATACATATAAAACCGCGCGATAGTCAATTTTAAACACAAATATCAATATATTCGCGAAACCATGGGCCAAATATAGTGAAAATGCGTTTTTAGGTTTNCTTGGGAAATAGTCCCGGGATTTTAGAAACTCCTTTTTTGAGCTGTATTGGCTATATTTCTTTTTTATTTAATAATTAATTTTTTTTTATAAATGTCTAGCCAATTATACATATAAAACCGCGCGATAGTAAATTTTAAACACAAAAATATCAATATATTCGCGAAACCATGGGCCAAATATAGTGAAATTGCGTTGTTAGTTTTTCACTCTGACGTCAGTAATTCAGAAATGATTTAAAAACTTAAAAGAAATATGCTTGGGGAAGAAATATGTGTATCAAATTAAAGAGGAAATCCTGTAGAATTTAAGCAGATTCAAGTTTTTGGTGCAGAAGTACTGGTAAGTATGGAAAATGTCCTTTTCAAATTTTATCCGTGAAATTTCGCAATACATATTTGTTTTTGAANAGCATCTAGATGCATTTATGCATCAAAAAGAAAATTTTGAAAAAAATGTCGCTTACGTTATTTTGGCGGTTAGGGCTCGATATGCTTGGAGAAGAAGTATGGGTATCAAATTAAAGAGGAAATCCTGTTAAACAGATTCAAGTTTTTGGTGCAGAAGTACTGGTAAGTATGGAAAATGTCCTTTTAAAATTTTATCCGTGAAATTTCGCAATACATATTTGTTTTTGAAAAAAATTATATGTTAAGGACATATATAAACTAGATAACACCCTCGAATCTATCAGCTTAAAAAATTAACTATTCGTCCTTGTAAATCAAAAAAATTTTAATTTTTTTAAATTCTAAAGAAAATTCTTCTTGCATTTGTTACCCATATTTTTATCATACATTGAATTGAATTTTTAAAATAATTTTTGGAATTAATCATAGCTTTGAAATAACAAAGTACTTTAAAATAAATTCTGACGGCAGAGAGAAAAAATAAAAACGCCACTTTAAATAAAAATGAAGGTTTCACACCCATTCATTTATTATTTATTTTATGGTAGGAGAAATTTTCAAACAATATAGAAGCAATTTTTCTCGATTTAAGTTGTTGAAAAGTAATGAATATCTATATCCCGAGACTACCACAAATCCCGGGATCGGAAAAAGCTGAAAAATTAACATCCCTAATATATACATATGAGTTTATCCATACATTTATTTGTATATGTATACTTACATATCCGTATATTTGCTTTATAGTACACACAAACGTTCTTTTTATGTTTATAAAAAAGTATCGTCGATATTCTTTTCAAGTTTATCCTATTTGTATAGAATTGTATGTGTTTTCATGTAGAAAACTTACAGCATTGCACGCACGAGTTGTCAATTTTTGCATTTTAACCTTTAAATTCGCTACTATTGCGTATATGTACATTAGGGTGGTCCAAAAATACACAGGAAAATAAATTTTTGGAATCTTGTTTCTGCAACCCCAATTGAATTAAAGAAAATGGAAAATAAATTGACCTGTATTTTTTTATTTCGAAATCTGTTAATATTTAACCGTGCCCCCGAGGCTTAGTATAAAAATATTTTCCTCAAGGCCACGGTTAACCGATTTTAATATGCAAACATAGTCTCTTTATTTTCTACATTCTTCAGTTCTGGGGTAGTCTGGAAACAAAAGTTTTGAACGCCCTAATGTTTGTATGTAAAATTGCTTCAAATCTTTGTGAATTTGTTAAGCAAAACTTTTCATATCGAAAATGCAAAATATTTACATACCTATACATGTAAGTAGTGTGTATGTGGATGTGTCTTTTTCCTGGTTTTCATATATAGCACCTTATTTTTTATTTTATAGCTTAGACATACGGCAATGTTAATCCGGATTAACAACGCTGTTGCTCCGAAGCAAATTGGTCGCTGATAGACGGCAGCAAAGTGGATTAAGCGCGCCGCGACTTCGTGGCTTTTTATACCACAGGCAGCTGAATTTTCATTTAGTTTTTTTATTAATTCAATTATTACCTTTATTTTTTTTTAATTAGCTCTGGAAAATTAACTCTAAAAATTTAAATTAACTTATAATAAAATAAGTAGTAATGTGAAATAAAAAGAAGCCAAATAAAATATGTGAATAAAATAAAACTAAAAATAAAAGAAAAAGTTATACATAAACTTATATAATCGCTCGGACCGAGGTTCGAAACTGTGTCCTATCGAATTGTGGTACGCAGCTCTCACCACTCGGTTACTGCGGACGCCAAACTCATTTTCTTTGTTCTCTTACTTGTTTGCTTCGTTTATTAATCGTTCACAAACGACAACAGCTGCATGTTTTGGTCAGTGTTGTCATCGAAAATGCCCCTGTTCCGCATAAATTTTGACTTAATCCGGATCAACTGTAGTTGATTCCTGAAATAATTCGAAATTAACGATTAGATCGCGATCAACGCCGTCGTCTGTCTATGCTTTTACTAACATAAATACCTATCTGTGACTTTCTGCGCAGTACCTTTGGGAATTTAATTTACCATTTTGACGTCCGTTGCAGAGTTCAAATAAGTTTTTTTCCTAAAAGCTTTTGAAAATGTCGATGATTTTGCTTCATATTAGCTGTGGCGATTTTTGAATAGTGACCGTTGTATGGATTTCCATATAACCATGTGCATTGGTTTTTGGTTGATTAATACCCAATCGGAAAAATTAGAATAAATGAGGCCTTCTAGGAGCTCCTATTTCTGAAATTTTGAAATTATAATTCTATAGGGCTCGATTTATTTGAAATGGGCAGAGTTTCAAGGCCTTCGGATTCAAGTCTTAGAAGGCGATAATTTACTTTAAAAATGCCACCGTTCAGGTTTAACTCACCGACATGCCTAATGCGACCTTTTTCTTGTATTGAACCTTCTTTGCTTTGGCAAGAAAGCTTTTTGTCTGCCTCGGGACAGCAATGTTATTGGTAATACAGCTTCCAAAGAGAAGGACCCTCGTCCTGAAAGCGTTTATTTAGAACCGCTCCACATTTCGACGCCTGGGTAATGATTTGTTTAGTTCAAAATATACATATGTACATATGTTTGAATATGTAAGTATCTCCACCGTAACTGGAGAAAACCGCAGCGCTTAGGTTACACCGACCATTGTGCATTCCTATTTACCCAAGCACGCTTGAATACACAAGCGACGGATACAAATAGTTAGGTAAACCAGAGTTCTACAAAGAACTTTGCATAAATAAAATACCTGAATGCTGCATAAATCTTGCCTGGCGTTGTTTATCGATTGCGGTCTTCTGCCTTGATTAAATATGACGATTGCAAAACTAACAATAGACTTTAATATAGAAAAAGGATGATGATGATGACCTTAATACTTAGATAAGCATGATTGGGCTTCATGAAGTATTCAAAAGAAGAATATTCAAATTTTCTTCTAATAAGTAGCTGTCTAAAGCCACTTTTCTACTTAAATATACTTGCATAATTCATTTTTGGGAGGGTATATTCTGCGTTGCAACAATTCTAAAACCTGCGCCATCCCATCAGTCCTCCTCGCCTCAATGCTAACCTGCTAAAGTTCCTTACTCCACCAGAAAGGCAGACAGATTTTCTAAAACGCGGTCAGTCTGTTTTTCTCAAATTTCGCCTTAGCGCAGACCATTTAGAATTTTCATAAAGTTTTAATTCGATGTAACAGAGGGCGCAGAGGTCTTGCTGACCACTAGACCTAAGGTCCAAATAGGGTAGGATTTCTTCCTGCATTGCACCTGCGGTTGTAACGGATTTATTTTTGAGCAACACAACCAATATTTCGGTTACCGCAGTCTTCCAACAGCATAGCCACCTTCCGTATAAGTTGGTGTTGGCAATATAGAGTCATGTGGAAAGTAAGCAGAGGTCCTTGAAGCTCAGCCTTGCAGCTAACAAATTATGACAACGTAAGCTGTTTACGACGGTTAGGATGACCATTTCAAGCTATGGCTGTTAGCACTAAGCGTATATATCCCTCAGCCGCAGGCGGCTTTCCGCCATTTCTCTGCCGAAAAACTCAGTAGGAAACAGAGCCAGAATGACGCAAGAAGCCACCTTTATTGAGACCGGGTGGTTCCGCGCCTAGCTTCCTTTCATCGACATACAAGTGAAGTAGGTCTTTTCAGCACAAACTCCCGCCACGCACGCGTTTATTGTAGCAGGGATAACACCTGTTCGAGAGTTATTGTCACATTTTGCGAGAATATTGGGGCAGGCATTATAGGCAAAGCCGCCAGACTGCTTCTTTGCTCCTCGTGTGCGAAAGCTCTTGCATGCCACCGGAGCCCATTGGTTTCGGTTGATCCAACTTCCGTTGACCGTGGTTCTTAGAAGATGCAGCAGCAGGAGTACTATCGGCAACCTCATAGGGTCATGTCTTCTACCAGCGTTTCGACACCTGCTTCCTCTACATTTTTATCCAAGATAAGTTGGTATTGAAATTGGGCTAAATTGGACGGTAGTAATGCCCACTTCCCATATAACAGTAATCTACAGAAAAACGGAACCTGCGTTTAATCAGTAACTAACGAAGCCATTTCCCTTAAAATCGATGTTTGCAAGAAACTATTTAAAATGGGGGGAAAACATCCCTGCTTGTCATATCGTTTACAGATAGGTGAAAAGTAATATTTATAACGTGCGCCGCCGGGTACATAAAAGTTCGGTTTCGCCCGAACTTATACTTCTTTGCTCGTTTCAAGTACAAAATGGGTTCAAAGGAATTCACATTTCTATCTATCCTGCTCTCTCTTAGTTTCCTAATCGTAGCGTACAAAAGACAGTCAAAAATCTAGTGCCGCTACGGGTATTCGAAAAAAAAAACTTAAACAACCAAAAAAATACTTTTTGAATGATGAAGAGCTTTCGAATGCTTCTGATCAAGGGATGAAATTAAAACGATTAAATCATTTTTTTTTGTTTTTGTACTCTAACGGACATTTCAAATCATAATTCGTGTCTTTAAATTTCCTTTTAATATTTGAATTAAATGTAAAATTTTTATTAGTATTTTTCACTCTTTCTTTTTACGGCACCTACTTAACCTCAATGTAGCGCAACAATACGCCAGTGCCTTTCATACGCTTGCAGCAGCCATCAACTTGCGTAAGGACAGCGCCGAATGCTATATGCTGCTCGGAAGTAAGTAACTTTCTATAGATATGTACATTCATATGTATGTGTGTATGTATGCACATTAGACTGTGTCCAGTAAAACGAATGTTTTTTTCTTTCGGCAAAATTTCAGCCCTCTATCTTCATTTTTCAGTTAGTTTTTTAGTAAACAATTAAATATAAAAATAATAAACTAAAAACAACCTTGCAGGCCATTTAATTCTAGTACAGTAAATGCACGTTGGAAGTAGCTAGCACTTACGGTTGTTTTTTTTTGAACCGAAAGAAAAAAAAAACGATTCGTTTTACTAGAAGTAAGAATGTGTGTGTATGTTAAATACATACTTAAATATACTAAGGATAAGCTTCCTTGTGTTGGCTGTTTGAAGTGACGTTTTGTCTTTAGTGCAATTATCAGGCCAGCCAACGCCAGGAACAATGGCTTAAAGGCGCTCTATACATATTTATGTATGTACATATACATATGTATATTCATATACGTACATAGGTATATAAATACGCGCCCACAAGTACTTTTCATAACCGCTAACCGGAAGTCCTGCGGCCCACAATTGTACTATATAAGTGTTAATTGTGGCGCGAATCAACCCACCCGCTAACGTCTTGACTGCTTCCAAGCTAAGTGTGCACTTAAGAATGCACCGCGAGCTGAGAAAAGTTCGAACAAAAACCGAAAGCAAAGGAAGAGCTTTTCTGAACTTTTGCCAATTGACATTGCTATGTATTTATGCGCATACTGTACATAGGTAAAAAAAAATGTAGGATATATTTCAATAATAAACGCGCGAGTTTACATATTACGGTGGCCCTTAAAATATATTAATTTGTTCCACGCACAAAATAAGACATCCACAAAAATTACAAAATTAAATTTTTTTTAAATCGCAAGAATTCTGCACATTTTTACTCCGACCAGCTATAACTTACCAGGTTTATAAATAAATTTCAACACTATTTAAAATATAACAAGTCTTAAGTAAAATTTTTATCGAAATTTCGCGATAAAAAATAATATTTTCTTCAAATCCTGCCAGCGACCCCACATTTTTGTTTAAATTTAAAAATTCTCGTGAATGTGTTTATTTTGATTCTATTTGACCTTTTAAGGACCACCCTGATACATACATATGTTTAAGTTTTCGATAGTAAGAAAGCCTTGCATAAAAGCTGCTTCTTGTTAGGAGGCAGTACCCGCCAATTGCATTAAAACACCAAGAATTGTAACAAACCTCTACTTGGGCACGCGAAGCGAAGTCTGGGTCTAGTAAGGGCTTAATAGAGACCTATACCTTGCTCTGCGGTTTGTTGTGTGACATAACTGGCACTGGTTTGAAAAGTGCATCCTTGCCCTGCAAAGGCGAGTGAGAAAGCCTGTAACAATTCTTCCAGCATGCCTAGTTTTTTTAATTTAAAGGTATGAAGGACTTAGTCAATCTATTACCTTCCGTACTGGCCCAGTAATGTTGCGCTTTCTTCTTCATCCTGACATCGCCTGATATCGCCTAATGGAGCTCGGTGACCGATCAAGTGCATGGAGCCAATGATTCTCTATGCTGCCCCTCCTCCAGCGAGAAAATGTGCCACTTCATTTCGCATGGATGCATTATGTCAAGGCAGCCAAATGAGTTACACCCGATTCCTGGATGTGATTAGTAGTCGTAATAAAAAAGATAAACTCAAGTGCTTTTAGTGTTAGAAGCATCATCTTCCAAAATGTATCTATGTATATACATCGATTTGTTGTTTTCTCACCTCACTTTCTATATACTAGAGCGATCTGGATTGTATATCACAGACCAATGCTTAAAGTAATCAGTATTTATACCGAATAGAGCCATCCTTTCGGAGTTTTGGTCGTTGATTATCCAGTTTGTTCTATTAGAGGAAAATTTCCTTGTAGTTTTGAGTGAAGTTTAACCTCGAAAGGCACAGGTCTAAATAGATGCTGCGAAGTTCTTCATGTTGTTTTATAGCTCTGAGATTGGCTAAACAGTATAACCTCTTTCTTAATCGCAATGTGCAGAGTAGGCCGTTTAAGACTCGCCTCAAGAGCCGCGGTCGGTGTTGTTTTCATCGCACCAGTGATGCCTACGCATGCTCTTAGCTTTAGTTTGCTGATCTTTGTCTGTGGGAACTGACGTTCTGTATTATTCTTCCGTCAGTACATCCATCCCTGGTTAATACATCCAACTCACCAATTTGGGCCTGATACCCCAGTACAAATAAAAATAATAATAATAGAGCTTGCATGGCTCAAGTCTTCATCTATTTCATAAAAAACACAACCAGTAGGGGGTCCTAAAAATATGAATATCTAAATTTTGTACAAAAAAAGACATCAGAGAAAATTTCATAATTAAAAAAAAAAATTTATAAGGTTTGAAAAAATTTATATTTTTTTGAGAAAAATTGCAAAAATTCTTCTTCGACTTAAATTCTGATATATTACTGTAACTTATTCATATAAATGCATAAACTCGCGATTTTGGAAAAAAATCAATTTTTCAAACGTTGGTACCGAACCCTAATTTTTTTAAATTTAATTTAACGGTGTTGACATATTAAGCACCACCGCAATATCCAGCGTAGTTAAAATGTAAAATTTTGGCGCTACCAAAGGAACCTTGCTGATAGCGCAAGCAGTCGACGGCGTCAATATTTTTGGACAGTTTTTTAAATAATCCGGCACGGTGACAGAAATAACCAATTGAGTTAAAAGCTTTACCATCTTATTTAACGAAGCTACTGGGCTCCAGGGCCTACTTTCAATCTCTCACTTTGTATCATGTACACCACCACGATATAGCTTAGATATATTTTGCACCAATTTATTTTATGCAATTTACAAATATGTACATAAGTGCTTTTCGTTCTAACATTCTCCATTTTCAATTTCTGCCGCAAAAAAAAAAAATGACACCAACCAAACACCCGACTACCATCACTCGCCAACAAAACTCTACTCGATACGAATTGACAATCGATTGCAGTTTGCTTGCGTAAGTTAGAGGATGGCGATAATGCGTTTAAGGCATTTCAGCGCTCTAATGAAATTCAACTGCAACAACAAAAGAATGCCGGACGTAATCCACTTGTGCACTTAAACTATGCCCTCTTCTGCTATGAGAGCGGTCGTATTGCGCTGGCGACAGAGCAATTTACACGTTTTGTTAGCTCGTCAAAGGATCTTCTGTTACCGACGGAAGTAAGTTTGGTGCAATTACAAAAAGCACAATGGGCTTATGCGGTGAGGAATTGGCGTTGATAATGTACTTTTGTTGTGGCTGCAAGTGCAGCTGCAGTAACATTGGCAAAAGGCCCTACATACATACACAAATATACATACATGTACATTATTGGTTCGTTACTTGACAATTTGGCATCCAGATTTAGTTCAAAAACATTCAACCTTCTCATTCCAGTGAAGATAACAACGCTAGTTTTGTTTGGCGTATTGGAAAGTCCATTTCCACCATACCAAGTGCTTAACCTTGAAAATTTCAAATAGTTTTTATTTTTATTTTTAATTAAAATATATGTAAAGGACTATTTAATATGTACGCTGCGTACCCTCGAATTTCGTCTATCTAACATTATTAGTTTAGGATACGAAAGTTAATTAAAAAGCCATTTGCAATAACTATTCGTCCTTGTGAATCCAAACAATTTTATTATTATTAAAGCTACAAAGTTTTCTCTTTCATTTGCTACACATACTATTGCACTGAATTTAAGTACTTTATTTTTCAATGAATGAATGAATAAGATTCAAAAGTCCTTTTAAAAAATTTTGACTTCAGAGAGAAAAACTAAAAACGCAGTTTTACTATATCTGGCTCCTAGTTTCGTGAGTATATAAATTTTTTCGTGTTTTAAAATTTTCTTAGTCTTTGTCGCATATTGTAATTGTTTTCTCAGAAAATGTACATGAATTGTAGGATTTACTTTGTTGGCCATACTAGTATGTAGTAATTGCAATTTAAAATATACATAGGTACGTCTCGATACTAGGATGCCACGACAAAAAAGTGTCTGCTTCCACAAATGATTCACAACACTTTTGGTGTGTAAATATTTATCATTGCTCTAAATTTTAGGTAAACTGTCACGCGTAAAACACGACGAATTTAAAAGTAGTACAAATGAAAATCTAATCAGCTGTTCTAGCAACACTGCTCGTTGATATAGTTCGGAAATTTTTCGGTATCATTTCGGGACACATATCTATGTTTACATGCGTATCTTATACTCACGCCTTTTTTTTATATATCGCGCCCTACTGCCCTAATCGCCACAAATATCAAAGCGATTTTTTTTTTTAATTTTCTTTTCGATGCAGAAATATTCCTAAAGCATCTAGATGCATTTGTGCATCAAAAAAAAAAAAAAAAAAAAAGTCGAACGTCATAACTAAAACATCAAAAAAAAAAGACCCTTAAACAAAAATAATAAAAAAAAACATTAAAGAAATATGTATGTATGTACATTCGACTGCATCACTCCCCATACAAAAAAAAATCGGTACTGTTTTTCCATTTTTTTAAGAGTTCCACCAAAATATCTCGGAAAAATATTGAGATTTACCTGAGATGGACCGATTTGAAAAATTTAGTTTTTGTTAATAAAAACAGTTTTTTTTTAAATTTTTTTTGAAAAAAATTCCTTCATTTGACTAAACAGTTTAAGCTTAAAAAAATGTTACAAAAATATTAAAAAAAAAAATAAAAAATTGTAAATTTCAGCTGAATCGTAATTATGAGATTTTTGATGCTGTTTTTGAACTTTTTTCAAAGACTGGTTTAAGATAAACTTGAATAACTCAGCCAAAACCTTACCAATTTAGACTTATTGGTAAGATAGTTTCTCACCCTTTTAATTTCTTTGCGAATAAGCTCTTACATAAATCTCATTATTATGATTCCGTTGTAAACCTTTTTAATATTTTTTTGTAGATTTTTTAAGCTTAAACTGATTTGTCATCTGAGGATATTTTTTCCAAAAAATCATTTAAGAAACTATTTTCATTCATAAAACACTCCATTTTTAGTGGTATTTTCAAACCGGTCCAGCTCACCTAAATCTTAAGAGGTCTTAAAATACACTCGATTTTGTAATCCCGATGGAAAAACCGCATTTTTTTTTGGGTGATGCAGTCTAATGTACATATGTATTTATGTATATTTATAAAATATAATCGTAAACTTTAATCCACAAAACAAAGTTGTCATCAAACCTTAATTTGGTTCCTGACTTTGGTGGTATGAGTGGTTGCTTTCTAGTTTTAGAAAACTCCCAAATTACGTCATTCTTCTTCTGGCAGTAAGCCATATTGTAATAAGATACATGTGGGCACATCGTAATGTACACATCTATTAGTAGTTTGCAACTAAGTTTGGGCCAAGTTCTAATTGCCTGACATTGGTATTAGCAAACTTTTTCCGTTATAATGTTATTTGGCTCATTTTAAAACTGTACAAATCTTTACTATGTACATATGTATGTATGTATGTATGTATGTAGGTTTGCCCGTATTTCAATTAAATTTAGTATGTAGTTATAGAGCAATTTGTGGTACATAAATACATGGCATATGTACATATGTATGTATGTACTATAAGAATGTACCGTTTCACATAAAAAAACACTTGTTTATTAGCACTAGCGCTATTGTTATTTACAAGTAAATGTAGTTGTAATTGTATTTGTATGTAGTTGTAGTGACTATGTAAATGTAGATGGTATTTAATTACTTGTTGGTAACGGTGAAGGCTTATACTGAAATTAATGTCAACTAATTATGTATGTATGCATGTACCTGGTTTACACTAACTTACACTTTCGAACGGCGGCTGTAGATGCATTTAAATGTCATTAATGCATACCATTGTGTAAATAATCAGATTATTAAAAGCTGACTTTCATTAATGATAATTTGAAAACACACATAATTGCATTTTGGGTAATTTTAATAAACACGCACATACATACATATCTCAAAATGAAATTATTTTAAATTATGTAAAATTCGTTATTTAACATTTTAACTGGAACTGGTTATTTCAAATCTGACGCTTTTAATTAAAACTTGTACACCCTAAAGTGGCGAATAGTTGATTTTGGCATTTCTGGGTTTAAGTACGATGGAATTTAAAATACGTTATTAAAAACTTGCATAATAATAAAGCAAACACAAAATTTACACACTTGAAATAAAATATTTTTCAATATACAGGGAGTATTATTATTTTATTATTATTATTATAAAGAATTATAGACCAAATAGTTGTATGGTATTCGCATCTATTATGAATTTGTTTTAAATTGTACATTTAACTGCATAGAAAGCATACGACATGACCGTTCAGGGGGGAGGGGGATCTTCAAAATACCACGCTTGGTCAGTGGGTCACTATCTCAAAAATCGAAAAAAATCAGAGATACAAAAGCCAAATGATGTCCAAATTTTATGTAATATAACAGTTGTTTCAGTGTTTTCCGCCACTATACCCCTGGCGAGACCGTTCCCATTATTATTATTAGTAACATTATTATGGGCCATATACATACGGTGACCAGATTTCTGTGGCCAACAATCGGGATATTTCTAAAGAATCGAATCCTAACACGCAATTTCTTTTTAGAAGAAAAAGACATAACATCTTTGAATACAGTTTTATTTAAAACAAAACAAAGAGAAAAGACTTGAAATATTATCAACAAAATGTATACGCATAAGATATGCGGTGGCGAGAATATAAATATGGAAAAGACATTTTATCAAGTTTTGGCTACTTTTCTTTGTTTAAAAAATGTTTGTTATTTTTTTTACGAAAATACAATATAGTATCTAAAAAGATATGTAAATCAAAATTTCAAACTTTGTAGAACATTTATAAAAAGTTGACGTATTTTAACAAATGTTGATCAAAATTTTAAAATTTAAAAAAAATTTTTTTTTTTATCAGATTTTCCAGAATTGTTTTGAGTATGCAGTTTTGTAGCCCATTAAATTTTAGTACAATAAAGTGCAAGCTTGAAGTAGCTTGGACTTACCGTTGATTTGTGGCAATTTTTTTCGCGCATTTTCTTCCATACAAAGTAGGTTCAACAATTGTTTTGTAAGGAGCAACACCTTCCACAAAAAAATCTACCAAAAATCAACGGCACTCATAAAGTTTCTAAGCAATTAATTAAAAAGGTTACAATTTTAATAAAACTTTGTCGAATTTTGCTAATTTTTTACAAAGTTTGAAATTTTGACTTACATACAAGGTCTTTGTTAGTTTGCTACACTTTCAAAAAAAAGAAGAAGAATAAACATTAAATAGTCGAAAAGGGAATAGCCAAATAATGCTAAAATGTCTTTTCCATATTTATATTTACGCCACTGTATCTACAGCTTATATTTTTCATATCCATGATTTTTTTGAGGGAAATAGTATATATTATTTTTAATAATTTCACTAAATTCAAGTTAGAATCATTTCATTAAAAACATTTAATAAAAAAATTATAAAAACCTTAAACAAATTTGATAAGAATGATAGACTGCATTATAGCGAAAGCATCTGTTTGACAGAATAAAACATAACCAAATATCATAGAAAATAAGGATGCTGGCTCCCTTATATTACATGTCCTTTGTTATAATGACAGTGCTGCCAAGTTTGTACGAAAATTTTTTTTTTGGGCCATAGTGCAGTGTGAATTAATAAAGAAAACACTGAAAATCGGTACAAATATAAAAACATCGGGACACTTATACGTTCCGGCTTTTAAAAAATATCCAGTGGGACAATTTTCTCAAAAGAGGTACTGTCCCGCCACAATCGGTACGAATGGTCACCGTACGTATACACAGCGACCTCTAAAGTGGGAAGGATTTTAATGTAGCCTAGCACTTCAAAGGGCATTTTGTTCCAGATTTCAAATGGATTAAGTGTATGTAGCACCAACTAAGTGAGCTAGTTTGCGCCTAGTCATAGCGTCACATTCACAGGGAATGTGCTCTGGCGTTTCTTCATCCAGCTCACAAAACCGGCTGACGTTTGTTTCAGAGAGATTAATTTTACTGAGATGATAGACAAGGGAGCAGTGTCCCGTGTCCTACCCAATGAGAATTTTGAGGTCGTCTCTTTCCAAATTGAGTAGTTACTTTGCAGCTTCTTTTGAAGGACAGATAGATCGTTTGGCTTGTTCCTGCCCTGGACATTCTAGCAAGTGCCTGTTAAACATTTGGCTGCACGGTTATTTATGGTCCCATTTATGTGTGCTTTGGTGAGCCCACAAAGGGTTCCGGACCATAAAATACTGCGGTAGTTCCCTGTTTCTCTAGGTAGCCAGCCTTCTCATTGTCATCATGTCCCTCATGCCTCGGTACCCATCCTAATAAAACGGTATTCTTGGCTCCAAGAGCACAGCCGACATAATACAGATTAATTCACTGATGGCCTCTTCTAAGATTCTCTCCCACAAATTTGTATTGTATGAATCTCCGCTTGCGAGATGGGGGCTAAATATTTCGCTCAGTCTACAAAAGAATGCAGGTGGACAAAACTCACTCTGCCCTTAATCTCAGAGGGTAGCGCTAGGTATTGCAGGCAACTTGGGACTATTGACTGGTCACTTCAAATAGCTTGAGGATGAGGCGACCGAACACTTTTTGTTTTCCTGCCCCGCCTTCGTAAGGATGATTTATGCGGGCTTTGCTTCAATTTATTCGCAAAGTAGAGTTACAACAAATTAAAAGAAATCTAAACATAGTACAATGGGCGCACTGCGCATTGTTTTGTGTATTTTGTTTCGAACAAGAAAAAAAAAAACATTATAAAAAACAATTTGGTAGTTTTCGCGTACTTTTTTCCAGTTAAGTGTTCGGCCTTTGAAGCTTAAATTGACAGCTTTTGCAACATAAAGAACAAACTTTTCAGCCCTTCATAAATTATAGGCACCAAAAGATATTAAGACAATAAAAATTAGCTTTAAGTGACTAGCCACTTTCCAGCGCAGAAAGTTTTAACTTTGTTACATTTTGATTGAGTTTAAATTGACCTTGAAAAAGTTTATAGGTCCTTGTGAACATATGACTGTTCGCAGCACATCCGTTTGCTGGAGCAGCTGTATGCACTAGTAACTAGGAAGGAGTATCCATGTGTATGCACATATATGTACATACACTTACATATATATCACCGAGAATAACAATTTATCAACCGTTTGCTTTCAGTGCTTCAATGTGTTTACTTTCGGACTATTCGTTTTTTTGACACACATGCACACATTCTTACATACTTATATATGTACACGTACATATGTATACTCCTAACTACCATTATGTTCCACCACTTATTATCGAAATTAAAAAGCACCATACTGCCCCTTAAGCACATCTTATTAACCATTTTTCACTTAAAGTACTAGACATTTTCCGCAGATGCGGTTTTTTTTGCCATTTTTGTTGGCCATTTGTGAGTAGATTGCAATTTTATTATTTTACTTTGCTACTCCCGCTGCGCGATGTTGTAATGGCAAACAGCGCAAGGACATTTAGCTAGCTTGCATTTAGGCAGATACATATACATAAAAGCATATAGATATATATTTGAATACTGCGATGTACTTTAGACTGTGCCACCTTAAAAATAAACAAAAAAAATCGCCGTACATCCCTGAGTCTAAAGTATTTTTACACGGCAATTAAAATTTTTAAATTATTTTATTTTAATATTTAAATAGAAAATGCGCTGAGTTCCGACTAAAAATTCATTAAATCTAATTCTGTGAAGTGTTGGCTTTAAGTTAAAAATATACTCTTTGTGCGCACTTTTGCGACACCCATACAATTATTTTCACCTTTCAGAATGGTTTCTCCAATATCGCGGCAACAACCCCAAGAACCTCCGTGTAACCAGATTCGAGCGAATTCAATCAGTTTTCAAAAATTTTGTTCGCCATATTGGATCAGCCATTTTGCATTTTAAAAATTCATGGTCAGATTCATAATCAGCGACCACAAAAACTCCCGAGTAACTAGTTTCGAGCGCATTCAATCAATTTTGAAAAATTTCTCCGCCATATTGCATCGGCCATTTTGGATTTTTGAAACCTGACTGACGATTTGTAATCAGTGGTCCCATAAACTAGTGGATACGAAGTAGTGTACAAATCCATCAACGCAAACCTGTTCAAATAGTTTTGTCCTGCTAGATTCTCTATTCAGACCACTGTGCGTCGTTAAAAAAATTCAAATTAAAATGGTTAGTAAGTATTAAATTGGGGTACTTGCGGTTATTGAACTCTGGTAAAAATTGTTTCCTCGAGAAAAAAAGTCGATATATCATACTTTAAGATCCGACCGTAACTGCCGTAGATATAACGGAAAATTTAAAAAGGCGACGTAAAAACATTTTTTCCCCGAAAATTTCTTGCAAAATTACTTTAGACTCAGGGGTGTACGGCCAACATTTTTTTTTTTTTGGTGCGGTCTAATGTACATATGCATGTATATATCCATGTAGATTGTATCTTTTAGTAGAGCCATCACTATCATTTTCACATTTTCTCTTCCTCCATTTCCCACCCCCCAATTCTCCTTCTTATTTTTCTCTTCCCTAACTTTCTTTCATGCTGCATTCTACGAAGTATAAATTCCAAGCGACCAAATTGAAATCGCTTCTGAAAATTTCAACAAGTAATATGGTGACATCAACACCACCAAATGGTGATGCTGCAAGTGACGTCAATTGGCAACCAACTGAGGGAGGAAACAACGGCCACAGCAACGTCCAGAGCGAAAGCAGCATTGACGATATCTATGGCATTTATGGTGTGAAACGTCAAGCAGCAGGGGACCGAAAAGTACTAAGCGATACAAAAGAAAAAGCATTGGTCACAGCTGCTGCCGCTGCTGCCGCTGCTGCCCTAACAAATAATGCATCAACCGCTGCAACCATTCCCACAGAAATGCCGCTTGAGGTGAACGCTGTGGTCAATGCCTGACGATATGAGTGACATGCTGGCAGCGAACTTTTGCCCCAATTGGCTGAAACTACTATAGAAAATCCTAGCAGAAGCACTACTTGTAGAAACAATAACAACAACAAAGTCGACGAAAGTGAAATTAAAAACAACACTCAAAATGGAAGTGAAGAAAATGCAGAAAATTGCACAGAGGCAGAGTGGATGGAAGGAGTTGGTGGTAATGGTAATGGTGGTGGTGGTGGTGGTGGTGGTTTGGAAGGCGGTAAATCAACAACCAGTACCAGCTTCAGCAATAGCAGAAAGAATGGCACCCGGAGCAATAGCAGTGCCAGTGAGGAGGAGGAGGACGACAGCTGTTGTAGGCTAGGCGCTTGTATGCCCCTAGCAACTTGGATAACTTGGCCAACATAGATGCACGCGCTGGCTGAGAAGTTCAATATTCGTTGGAATGTGGCAAAATTGTAAGGGAATAAATAATTACCAAGAAGTAATAAAACGGACAGTTGTAGTGTGTGTGTGTGTTTGTCTCTGAGAATACAGGCCGTGGGGCAGTGAAATTGTTAACTGAAATGTAGCAGGATGTAGCAGGATGTGGCTGGCAAATTGGTATGGCAAGTGCTAGCTGGTGGTTACGGAAGTGGTTTGGCGAAATATTTATGTTTTATAAATACAATTGTGTCGGCAGCGTTCGGTTTTTGTGCCAACTCAATTTGGTTTTTAATGTAGTTGTTTTTGTATGTATGTATGTATAAATTGCTTATCTCGCTTGCTACCGTGCTTGCACATTTTTTTCTGTTTTAATTGCGAAAATGAAAATAAAGATAAGAAACTTGGTAAAAATAAAGAATTTTCTTTGGTTCTTTGTTTACCCTTTTTTGCTTTGTCGTGGGCAATGGAACACAAAATGATTTAGGCGGCTATAGCGCCACTTCAGAAGGCGGACAATGAAAAGGTTTTTTAACTAAATGAGAAAAAAACTACTAAGCATGGTTAGAAATATTTGTAATTATTTTTTATATATCTTAAAGAAGTAAAAGAGGAGCAAAAAGAGGAGAAGCGCAAGAAAGCAAAATAATGGTAATAAATATTCAAATTAAATTAAAACAAAAAGCTGGATGGACTAGTTAGGGTTTTCAGTTTTTGATTACTTCTGCGAATTAGAAGAAAAAACAATTTCTTTAAAAAAGTTTGGGAAAACAAATACATTTAAACGAAAGGATAACTGCTACAGGCGCCTAATTTACAGAGAAGAATTTGCTCTTTTCGGGAGACTGCAAATAAGTTACAAACTTTTTATGGAGGCTTTTCCTGTGGAAGGAAGGCAAAGCCAAATGAAGTTCCGCAAGGGGTTGCAGTTATTCAAACGTTATGTTGAATGTAGCATTTCTAGATATTGGATTAGGTTAGAGCGCACTTGGTTCAATCTATACCCGGTCCAGGGAAGTTCAAAAATTCTTTGGAACATTGAGTGAATTTAGTAAAATGAGTGAATGAGGTCCAGTATATGCAAAGCAGGTCTAATAAACGCATTTACAGAAGCGTCGTAGAGTTTTTTTCTGTTCGCAAAGCTTCTTAAATATCGGACACCTACTGCAGACATTCCAAGCATTATTATTGGCTCAAAATAATATCGATATATTGTGGGGCGCACAGTGATGCAAACGCGAAATTTACTATTCAAACAGTTCTACAGCTGCAATTTTTGCCGGATGTTCAAGGTTTTTTTTTTGAATGACAGATAATTAACTTTTTAAGAGGCTTAAAGAACCACTTTGTTAAATTTTTATTTGCTTATATAAAATTTTTCTGCATTGAAAAGTATTAAGTAGCAATTCTGAAGAAAATCGATTCTCCAGTTTCTGTTAATAAATGTTAAATTATAAAAAGAGGTTGAATACATTTATAGGATTCTCTAAAGCAAAAAAAAAAATTAAAAAAAAATTTTAATGTTAAAAAATATTATTAAATTTATTATTTTGAAATACATAATTTTTTTTTGCCTAAATTTCGAGCACATTTTACGTATGGGGAAGAAAATGCTTAGCACCGTCAGCGTTTGCGCCACTATGGGGCTTGGTGGCTTACGAACTGAATCTTTTATTCTCGAAGTGTTCGTGGTAGAGTACTGGAACGATTAGGTAGATCCTTGTTATGTCAGATACCAAAAAATTAGCATTATGTCTATTTAGGCACAGTAGTAAGCCAGTCATGCCATCTTTCGTTCACTACATTAGTAACTCTCTCAAAAATAAGTAGCTTGCAAGTTTGTAAGGATATTCCTTTTTCATTATTTACATTCTCAATAGGTAGCTTGGCGCCATATATCACCACTTCATCGGCCTTACAATTTCCCTCTATGTCGCAGTATACCAGAACGCATATGACCTTTAGGCGAAACGACTCAGCCATCTCGTTAAGAAATGTGCGGCATTTCATGGTTACCGTGGAGAAGGAAGGTCGTAAACGCTATACTGGGAGCCGGGCTCGGAAGTGCATAGTCCGTCAATCCGAACTCCCTTAGTATTCTACAATGCAGGGAGATTTTAAGATTCCATTAGTTTGAAAGCCTAAGTAAGTCAATTGAGGTAATACAATAATAAATACATATGTATGTATGTACATACATTAGGGTGGTCAAAAAGTGCACGTGATCAAGTAAAGTCGGAATTTTAAAGCTCTCACTCCCTAGGATTGTTCTATATCGATAAAAATTATACTCCTTTGTTTGTTGAAAATAAAAATTTAGAGGTCGCTCAAAGCGCTTAGTTTTCCATGTATTTTATATGGGAAAAATAAGTTTTCATAGAAATGATATAGAATTCTCGAAAATCAATATTTTTCGATCGGTAAACTTCCAATAGAGACTTCCAATAATAATACCCTATACAACTTTTATTACCAGCGATCTTTTATGGGTCCACCATGGCATTTTTTGAAGTTTTTGGGGGTCCCATAAAAAAAGTTAATAATAGAAATGGTTAAATAAACAATTGGGTATTGTTATTTGTTATTTTTGTCTTCTAAAGAACAACAAATCGAAAAATATAATTTTTCAAGAATTCTATACCATTTCAACGACTACTTGTTTTTCCCATGTAAAATAAATGGAAAACTTGGAGTGCTTTGAGCGATCTCTCAATATTTTCTGATTTCAAAATAAAAAAAATAGGGGTATAAATTTTTGCTACTATGTATTTGTGTACATAAAACAAAGTATTGTACAATACTTACTTTGCCAATAAAGTCCATTTGCATTAACAAAATTGTTCATCACTGTTTTTCGAACATTCATTTATTGAACATAATAATCACGCATATATGCATTTTTTTTGTTATCATACAAAATATACAGTACACAATCGTAGAATGTGTTTGCTTTTTATTACATTACGTTTACATAGCAATTACACACTTTGCCTATGCTACATACATATACATTACAAACATACATGAAATTATTAAACCTCTTTTTTCACTAGCACTTCATTAGTTACCATATAAAAATATCTATCTCTGAAAATGCATTACTTATAACGAAATAGAAATTTTGATTTCGACCTTTAATTTTCACGTTAATAAAAATTTCACAAAACGTAGCTTTGAAATTGTCCAACCAATTCGTTTGAAACCGAAATATTCGCTAATATGTAGACGATAATAGCGAGTAATTGCCAATTGTTTTAATATTAAGAGAATGAAATAAAAATTCTCCCCCACAACCGTTGGCATTATGTGTAAGCCTTCTGTATTACTTACTCCTATTTATTATAATTTTGCATTTATTTTTAATGTTTTGACGAATTCGTTAATTAACAAAACACTTACTAAATACTAAAAACGTATTAAAGAAATTTGGATAAACTACTTGACTTAATTTTATATACTGTTTACCTAAATATGTACATATGTACATTGTGTGTATGTATAAATAAGTTTTTCCACCTATTTTCGTTGCAGGAAACAAATATTTATATAACTACATATTTAGCATAAATTTTGTGGTTTTCAATTGAAAATTCGGTTAATTTCAAAGTGGCTGTTTTGCAAATATTTCAGCCGTTTTTTTTTGGTAATTTTTACTAATTTCTAATGGAGATATTCTGTTTCTAACTTTTTTTTTTGGTTACTCAAATATGTATGTAATTGAAGTGTTTCGTTTATTTGCATATCCAACCGCAAAATACATTTCTTTGGGGCTCAATAAGAAGACGTAAATTGCGCTGGATGTGTATAAGTTTATAAATTTTAATGCCTAGCAGAAGTGTATTCAGTTTTTAAAAACATTTATACATACGTGTTTGGTAATTTGATAATCGTAGGTATGTTCCGATTACTTTACTTAAATGGTTCGTTGCGACTTGAATTATTTGTTGAACTACATTTTTATAACGGTTTTTCAAATATATACAGGTTATTATATAGGGTATTATGCTAGTATATTTTGGTGATATTTGCGAGCAGTCAAATTTTGTAAAATGATATTTCGGCCATTTTTTTCCAACAAAATCAAAACTACTAATTCTGTATCTTTGACGACTGAAGAGCAAAAGTGGTCTTAACCGATTAATATAAATATATACCTTTTTTGTTGCATATCGTAAAGTGTTAATGGCCATGGTGAAAACAAACCTTAAGCAGGCAGCACAGCAGAGAGAACGTTTTGTTACGTGAGGCTTGCAGGAATATATTGCGGCTGTAGTCCTCGGATNTTTGGTAATTTTTACTAATTTCTAATGGAGATATTCTGTTTCTAACTTTTTTTTTTGGTTACTCAAATATGTATGTAATTGAAGTGTTTCGTTTATTTGCATATCCAACCGCAAAATACATTTCTTTGGGGCTCAATAAGAAGACGTAAATTGCGCTGGATGTGTATAAGTTTATAAATTTTAATGCCTAGCAGAAGTGTATTCAGTTTTTAAAAACATTTATACATACGTGTTTGGTAATTTGATAATCGTAGGTATGTTCCGATTACTTTACTTAAATGGTTCGTTGCGACTTGAATTATTTGTTGAACTACATTTTTATAACGGTTTTTCAAATATATACAGGTTATTATATAGGGTATTATGCTAGTATATTTTGGTGATATTTGCGAGCAGTCAAATTTTGTAAAATGATATTTCGGCCATTTTTTTCCAACAAAATCAAAACTACTAATTCTGTATCTTTGACGACTGAAGAGCAAAAGTGGTCTTAACCGATTAATATAAATATATACCTTTTTTGTTGCATATCGTAAAGTGTTAATGGCCATGGTGAAAACAAACCTTAAGCAGGCAGCACAGCAGAGAGAACGTTTTGTTACGTGAGGCTTGCAGGAAAATATTGCGGCTGTAGTCCTCGGATAACCAGATGGATTTATACTATGATAGTTAAACTAATGATAGATAACCTTTGGAGCGGGACTCGAGATTCAACTTGGTGACTGGAATGGGCCAAGAAGATATGCGCTGTTATACTAGTTACATATACGTATGTATGTAGTTACCAAATCTTTTCACTTGGGTAAAAACCACTTTGTTGGCGAGATATGAAATTTGCCAATGCTTTTTATCCATTGTGAGATCTTTACATGGCTTTCTTGGTCTCACGTATTGAGATTAAGTACTGACGAGCCGACCACGACTTCTGTTGAACTATGCGCTCATACAAATGTAATGTCGCTAGCTCCCAATAAAAAGTTGTAGAGATCTTTAGAGAAAGGAGGTAAATTTGTGCTTGTTTCACCATTTCTCTTTGAGATAATGAAGAGGCGAAAGCTGATTGGTCATGGTCAAAAAGTTGTTTTTTTTAATTTGTTGATTTGGGCTAAATTCCTGTAAAATTGTTTGTTGGGTTGGCGCTACTTCGGCCGTTAACGAAAGCGTGTAAACGCATTTGAAAGCTCAATTATAATATGCGAAGTATTAAGTATTAATTTAATATTGTTTTTTTTTAGTAATTCCTAGTAAATGTTATAAATCTTTCACTTGTGTCATCTGAGTATTTCCTTTTTATAAGAATGTGAATATATATATTAGGGCGGGACAGTTTTTATGGGACATTTATTCGAGCATAGCGTACTCTTATACGTGTAATTCCAAGTAAATTTCCCTAAGAAACCTTGGATGTAAAATCAATTTCGGGTTTGACAAATTGCGGAAATAGGTTTTTTTTACTTAGAATTTTGTTGTAATGTCGTAAATAAGTGCTAAACATTTTTATAAAAACATGCTTTAGGAAGCTTTTTGGTATGAAGAATCCTTTTCTGGGCTTATATTTTTCTTAAAATATCCCCCAGAGGGCGCAAAAATGTAAATTTTCAATTTGTCTTACGTGTGAAAATAAAAAATACTATACATATACTACATATTTTAATATTTTTCAATTTGATAAATTAAAAATTGAAATTAGATTCATGGTTTCTTCGGCGAAATTTCGTTAGAATTGTACGTAGAATACTCCCATGATATACTCGGATAATCAAAAAAAAAAAAAAAAAAATCCCGTCTTAATGTATGTCTAAGTATTTTTGCGAGGCTATTTAGATTTTGTTTGACCGAACGTAGGGATCGTACATTTAAATTCTTTTATCATATCTTCGTCATCTACAGTCGGTTCTTAACTCATGATACAAACTTATATCGATGTTCTTGTCTCGATGAGATTTTTTATGCTTTATTAAATTTTACCTACCTCTTTCTAGTACTTACACACTAGATCTCAGTTCCTATCACTCTAACATACCACCCTAATGTCAGTATATTACAGCTCGCCAAAAATTATTAAACTTTTGCTAAGGAAGTATTTTGATTATGCCAGTAGATTTATTTTGAAAAAAAAAATTGTTTATTGCCGAATCCATGTAGTTGTCAACGAAAATTGTGAAGCTAAAGCAAAACTTTTTTTCGGAATTGTCTTGCAAAAATACTTTAGACTCAGAGGTGTACGGCGAGCAATTTTTTTATGCTGGTTAGATGGTATGTCCTAATGTACAAAAGCATATGAAACTTATGGACAGACAAAAGTTTTATTTATGCCGAAACGAATTTTGAATATTTATTGTATTTACATATTTTACTTGGCAACATTTGGGGTTATTCAAGCACAACGAAAAGCTTCGAATACTCTATACTACATGCACTTTTGCGTAACTATTAGATTTAGTAATTACATTTACTTAATTTAACAATTAATAATAATTTATTTCTTATGCGCTACTGACCTTAATCTAAGAAAAACTAGAATAAAAATTCCAAATAGTATACAAATATTTTTTTCACATTTTCATTTCTGAATAAATGAATGGCACTTCGTAATAAACAATTTTCACTGGCTCACATTTTATTCAACATTTACTTGAATACTTAATTTCCTTAACTAACAAAACGTGTCCGACTTTCAAATTCTGAACTTATTAAAATATTTTTTTCACAGCTATGCAATTTCTGCATAAATATTTTACTTAAGTTTTGTTGCGAATTGCCTAAAATAGCACATTAACAATACATTTTAAACTATTTCTATGTTAGTGATTATAAAAAGCCTATAAATATTATTAAATTTAAAACCTATAATACACAGCATACCTTTTTACTTAGAACTAAGTACATGAAAAATCGGTCATTAACATGCTGGGTCAAACAAAGAGTAAGGTCCGCTTTCAATTTCACTTGCGATCATACTTCTAGATCTAGATCTAGAATACATTACCAGTAGCAGCGATTCTAAAATCCCCTACAAAACATATGTACATCTTCCTTGAGAGTATTTATTAGGAGGAGGAGCACCTTCACTGATCCATTTAGGCGAATAAAACGCCTTCAGCACCACGCGCGCAACAACATAACAGTAAAAGTAACTACAAACCGCTATTTTTGCTAAACATCATCATTTTTTTTTTTTTTTTTGTATAAATTCTTTTTTAACCAAATTGTGGATTTTGTAAGCACTAATGCGAATATTTCGCCTTTCTTTGAGCGCATAACTCGCAATATTTAGTAAGTAGCTCAGCAGTCGACACAGCCCTTGCAACGTTTGCAGTACTTAAAGCAGCTAAGGTGACCCTCGACACCGGAGTCAAACACACGTCGTGGTGACCCGTGTCAGTCGTGTCATTTCCATGCTACCGAAATTCTTTTTGAAGAATAATGATTTGAATGTTGTGCGGAATTGTTTTGACATTAGACCGTAGAGTACGAAGCCAACAGCGGCATTGATGAGCGCCAATAGATCCATCATTTCACCGAAGGGTGGATAGCATACAAAGAAGAAACATTTTTCCAAAACACCCGAAAGTAGTCCGAGTATGCCTTGTGGAAATTCGGTCACCAGGAACAGTATGAGTACGGCTACCAACAGCATTGTGGTCCGATCTGTACGGCGATCACATTTTGGTGGACTGTGGGTTATAGAGGAGGCAACATAAATCAAAGTTGAAACTAAGAATGTTGATTCAAGAAAATAAATTTCATATAATTTAGTAGTTTATTAGGGCATGCCAGTTTGTGCGCGACGCTTTAAAAAGCGTAAAATTTCCATGTCCAAGCGGAAACTTTTTGAAATACATATTTAGATGTTTTGTTAAATTGACCATAGCCTTAGCCACAGAGAAGCAAAGAGTTCTCTTTTATCCATAAAGGTTAAAAAAAGCCGTTCCTTTTAAAATGAATATTCTCGACAAGTATAAAAAAAGCTCAGTTTTCTAACTAATTGACAAATTGTATGTTTAAACCCAAGCACTTTTTATAAAAAAAATAGTTTTAAAATAAGAAATTTTCACTTAAAATCCATAGCTACAATGGCGAGGTTTAGTATTAAAGAGTTCAAGAAACTTTAGAGTTCTAGGGTTAACCGTTTTCTATTATTTTTCCATTATTCCATATATTCGAGTTTAAAACACTTTTTTGTCCATACAGCGCCAGCCACATAAATAGCGCACCCTTTCTATCCTCAGTATTGATAGTTTTCGTTTTAATTATTTAACATTAAATATTGTTTTTTTTTTTTATAAAAATATAACGAAAACCAAGTAAATCGTATTGTCAAATTTACAAGGCATATTAAGCAGGTAGTATGAGCAGATCCCCCAAAGTTATTTGTTCTCTAAAATGCCAAATATTTGCAATTTTTTTCATAAAAATTCTTAATTGGCGAAATATGTGTATGTGAATCTTCAAAAAAATCGATCAAAAACTAGCCTTTGGGACATTTGCTTGACTCAGGTGCATAAACGCTGATTATGGTAGTTATTAGACCCTGCAAAGGATGTATTTATGCCTCTGGAATGAAAAACATTTAAAAAGAAAGAAACTCTCACCAATTTTTATCTTTTTTGTATATCAATTTTTTATTTAATAAAAAAATATACATATATGTTGTTTTTGTTCTATTGCTACAAAATACCTGTTTGATGTGCCTTGCAAGATTTATAGTAATTAAAAAAAATCATACTTAAAAAAATTTCTTAATTCTAGTCTTAAGTTTCTAAAAAATTGCGTAAACTCACAGTTTAGGTGAATTGCTTTGTATAAAAGAAAAGGCGCACAAATTTTAAAAAAAATTTTGAATTACTATAAATTTTATATAAAGTTTAAAAATCAGTTTTAAATGTCTTTTCAAATATCAAATAAAGAAAATGAAAACTGTTAATACTGAGAATTAAAAGGGGCGCTATTCAATTGCCGGGCACTGTAAATTAAATTTGTAAATAAAGGTTAAACAAAATATTACTCATACGCACCGTTGTGAGTGTTGCTGCTCAGTCAGTGGTGCCTCGCCACCACTTGCGCCGCCATCATTGCCACTGCTGCCTTTCGCGGGATTACTGTACTCCTTCAGCTTTTGCTTACGCTTCGATGCTTCGCACAATACTCGTACCAATATAAAGCTTATCACGGTTAATATACAGCAGGGCAATAATTTAATAATCACGGAATGAATCCAAAAATTNTTTTTTTTTTTTTTGTGGTGCGGGCAGTTCAAGAAGAAAAAAGAAAAGAAGAAAACTCTTATATTATTACACGTATTTAACTTTCATACATTCTAAAATAAAATACTTAAGCTGAGTGACTTTTGCACTTCAAAACGCACTCAGAGTTAAAGTTAAGCTGTTGTAAAATTTGTCTCTTCTCACCCAACAAAGTCGCATTCACAAAAGATTCAGAATAAACTCATACACACCCACATATGTATGTAGATTCATGCATACCAGCATATAGTCGGATATATGCGTTTTACTCAAACCAATGCGAATTGATGAATAAATTCCTAGAAATGCCAACGCTGGTCGCAGTTGTTTGTCGTTAGCACAAATTCGCAATACTCAATGTGCTTTAAAGTTAGAAGAAACCCTACTGGTGGAACACATTTGCCACTATATTGCCAGCTACATATGTATCGTGCACTCATTCGCTTTGCAGATTTGTCTTCCATTGCTTGCAAACCGTGAGCAAATAAGAGTGAAATTAGAAAAAAAAAAAATCACTGATACAATTCACTTCGCATCACTGCCTTTTCCCCATTTCCCTACTCTCCCCTCGTTTATTCGGGGCTGCTAGCAAGCTTAACCGAATTAATTTAGTTGGCATCAGCGAAAAATTCGCTTCGTTCCGCAATGTTTGTTTAAATTGTTGCGTGTCAGAAGCTGAGCTCAGTTGTGTCACCTTGGTAAATAAGTTTTTCTTATTTGCATAAAAGCACACCCGTAATTTTCGTCGTCTAATTATGTGCATTGCTTTCACTTAGCTTTAATGTGAAACGTCTATGGCTCCATAGTTTCCATATTAAATTTAATAAAAAGAAAAACGCTCACACATTTCCTCACCCACCCACACAACAGTTTGACTTTTGCTTTGTTCAATTTGAAATTCTCGTTTTTGGTTTGGCATTTTTGACATGCTGATTCCGTTCTCTGATGGGCTGGCTTAAGAATATCGCACTGAAAGATGAAATTCAGTTGTGTGGCTATGATTCCCTGTAGTAAAAACGCTTTCCATGGAAATGTTGCTATGTGAACCCCTGAAATACCACGAATTACCGTTCAAGGCTGAATAAAAGAGAAACCAGTAAAGATGTATATATAAGTTCGGGCGGAACCGAATTTTAAAATCGTCGTTTCAACTTTCTCTCAACTACCTTTGCATGATAATCGGGAGCGCTTTTCCCGATTTCAAACGCTTTCGATAATATGCAGAGTTTGACTTATTGAAATCATTGAACCAAGTTTGGTAGAAATCGATAAAACGGTTACCGAGATAGACCTTTGTAGTCATAAAGTGGGCGGCGCCACGCCCAATTCCTAAAAGTCCATAACAGTCTTATTTATTGTTGAGAGGTTGTTGAAAGTATTAACTTGGAGTAAATTAGTGTCATTATGTAGTTTGTGAAATATCGGAGTATTCGTATTTTTGAAATTTACCGGGAAGCGGATGTAACTTTAGTCCGATTTGAATAATTTTCAACTTATTGCTTTTCCGTACAAAGGTTATAAGGTGCACCAATTTTGGTTGAATTTTGATGAAACGAATACCGGTGTACACATTTGTGGTCGTAAGTGGGCGGCGCCACGCCCATTATCCAAAAATTTTATTTTTAATTTTAGTTTTCGTGTTTCTGTAAATTACCGTTATATGGGAGGTGGGCGTGGTTATTGCGCGATTTCAAAGATTTTAAATAGATTTCTTAGTTGAACCCTAAGCAAGGCTCGGATTGAGTTTGGTAAGGATTGGTGATAAAAGTAAAAACAAGTATGTCCATTTTTACGAAAGGATAGCCAAAGTACCTGGCCTATCGAAAATCTCGTACCGCTTCCCCAGTAGGCACTTACGGTGTTCTAAGTTTACATACACGGTTGTTGTATGCAAGTCTCGAAAAAGACTAACTGCATGTGTTTATCATAATGTATTGGACCGTGTTTCTAACATCTCGGCCTGAAAAACTGAGGGTAATTTGCCCATTGCAATGAAAATTCTATCGCCAGGTTCACAAACGCCCGCATATGTTCGATCCTTCATTCTTGACCAGTCTATGTACCAATTGACATATCTGGAAACAAGGCCCGTTTGTTCTGTCTTCCCGCTCTAGCATTTTTGCCTGGAATTCTTGTCAAAGCAGATTTATTTTAGCATCGAGTCTGAAAGCATGCATCTATCTAAGCCCGAGATCTTTCAAAAAATACCTGTCTGCTGCTTGTTTTTGTGAAGAGTACCGTTAGATATTCACAGCTGCAACTCTCTAGATGATGCTGCTGCTTGAACAAAAATATATAAGCCACACTGAGATACGTACTGACGTACATGAATGCCACAGGGCCTTAACATTTCTGTTCTTTTTCGCAAAACTGATTCATACATTCATTCATACATACGGCATGCGAACATTGTTACTAACACCCACCTGTACAACCTGGTATCCTTTTCCGCGTAAACGTGGTACAACGGTTCCGTACTATCTTCCACATAACTCTCCCGCACCTTAAATACAAACAATGTTGGAAAACAGACCACCGGCGATACGATGAAGGAAAATATAATCGCTTCATTGCAATGTGACAGCAGAAAGGCAGCAAAACGTCCATGTGGATGCCTGAAAAATAAAGTTGGAAAGAGTTTGCTAAAAGAAATCAAAAAAACAGCAAAAAGAAGCCAGAAGCAAGTGAAGCGAGTAAGTTTTGAAATCACAAAAATAATTCATAAACCAAACACAAACAAAAAAAAAACGAAACAAAAACAAAAACATGTGTGTTGAAAATAAAAATTGTAACATAACAGAGAAGAAAAGAAATAAAATTTAATTTTTATATTATAAAAAAATGTTGCCAGCATTGTCGAAAACTATGTATTTCTCACACAAGTACAATCTTTCTCTAATTACAGCTACATAAAGAGTTTTGGAAAATTTATTGTACATATGTACATACATACATACATACATACATAAATATGTATTAAAACTGCGTGGTCTATCTACCTATGTAAATAAAGAAATATTAAGAGAAAATGGAGTTTTATACCATATTTTTCACATAACAAACACGAAGATTTATTCTGCTAAATATATAAATACTGTTATACATATGTATGACCTTATTCATAAATAATAAAAGAGAGCTCTATAAAGTGAGATTTTCATAAAAATTTTCGATTTATAAAGCAGTTAAAATCTTGTTTATTTTTTATGAATTTGGGTGTTAGTATATATGCAAGTTAGTATTTATTTACATTTTTGAAGGATTCAATATAAATTTTATTTATAAATAAAATACATAAATAGCAATATCCGACATGGCAGACTTTGTCGTCTTAAAATTATATGCGCAATTTCATTTGGAATGCAATCATCCAGGCTAAAGTTATCGATTTAACCTGAGATTATTTTATAATTACAGATTAACGAAGCGCGAATTTTGTATGGCTAATCTCTTTTTCTGATTACAGATTAGGGAGCTAAGCTCAAAAATGAGGATAATCTACTTATTTGTAAACCTAGTTTAAGAATTTCCATCGAACTGGCCTTAAATTCAAATTGACAGGGAAGTGAATTACAGAACTTGCGTGATTCTATCTAACCTCTTCAGTTTTAGTTTCAATTTACCTTACCAATTAAATTAAATTAAAATTTTTACCAGGTGGCAACCTTCAACAAAAATATTTTTGGCTGTAAGCGTTCTTAAACCTCTTTCCTTTTGACAGCCAGAGTAATGCGCATACAAACATACAGACAGACAAAAATTCTAAAAATTATTGATACGTAAGTAAGCTGTCGTTTGCAATGGGTTTAGCATCAAACGGCTAGGAGAGGTCCTTCCCAATTCTGCGAGAGCTGGTGGTATTGCTCAGCGCCATTTTACATAGCCGTATTAGTTTTGCAGGCATTAAATTCACACATCGCGGGGTTTCGTGCTGTCGAAAACAGCTTTGAGGTCGACAGATGGATTGTGAGTGTCGATGCTCTTCTCGCCGGTCATCTCCTCCGCTGGTTTCAGCGACATCGGTCACTAGGTCACCATGTTTGTTCTTAAAGAACTTTATTTTTACGAAAAATATTAGACTGAATGGCAGGTAATACGTAGCATTCATCACACTATTCGGTACAGCCGGTCTAGGTTCGCTATCGCAAAAAATTTTTTTTTTGAGACCGATCGCAACTGGAATGGAATCGGACCGAAACTAAACTGTTACCGATAGTATGAATGCACACATTGCTCAATTGCTTTTTCGTGCGGTTTTTATTGGCTGGCAAAAAAGGCTTTAATGCTCAGTTAGTCTAGACTTAACTTAGCTTACGTAAGAAATCGACAATGATTACTCAACACGTCAACTTAACCAGAAGCGAAAATATTTGGTTTTTGTGATTTCCTTTTCAGCCGATTGTCACTTTGCCGCCTATAAGCCACATCAAAAAATTCCTGAACAAAAAAATATTGCGTTGGCGTTAGGGGCTTTTATAGTTGAAATTGAAAAAATAAATCTATTTAAATATATATGTAATAAGATAGGTTATACTATTATTTTTAGGAAATTTCTTGAAAAAAATTGCAAAATTTTCAGCATTTCCCGCATTGGGAGCAAATGTTGGCTTACTCTGCCTGCTCTTTTTTTGAATGCATTAAACTGAGTTCCTCTTCACAGATACAATGAATTGAAAGAAGCGCCTAATAATGATTAAAAATTTATTTTGCTGGAATTTTATCATTGTTATAAATATGCAAAAAAAAATATTGAATTTCAGAGTATTCCTCTCTCATCCAAAGAAATATTTTCCAATTGCGGGTATGCTAATTTGCTTTTTTTTTTTAGAATAATAGTAATTCCTACTTAAACCCATTAGCAAAGTTAGTATTTAAATTTTCATTGACATACATACATTAATTTCAGTGTAGTTACAAATTGCCAATACAAAAAATTTGAATAAAATAATAAACATAAACTATGTATAAGAAAATAAAGTAATAAATATAAACTTATACTTATATGAGCAACTACATTACATTGTAATTGTACATTGTAATTGTACATTGTAATGATTGCAACTACAAAGAACGCCATAGAAATACATGCATTTTTATAAACCCTTTCAAAAATACTTGAACCAAATTGCTTGTCTAAAAGATAAAGCACATCAGTTGCCTCAAAGCTAAAGTATGTTGTTGTTGTTGCATTTTGATGGGCTTAAAAGTACATATTTAAATTTTGCTTGATTTAAACGCACTCATACTACATACATATGGATGTACATAGCTGTTTTATGATGTATAAAAATAATAACATAGGATAAGCAGGGATTTCGTTCACTAGGCAACAACTAGAAAGTAAAGAAGCGCTTACGTTTGCCCAACGGATCTGGTCATGCAGGGAAAATACATATGTATGTATATGTAAATGTTTATTGCTTAAAAGTATACAATTTAAAAGTAAAGTACCTAAATGCAGAAATACAGGTTTAAACAAGTAAGAGCAGCGCTCTCTTCGGCTATGCCGAAGGCTCCATACCTTTCATGAGCATCTGAAAATTTTACGTTAACAGATTGCTGCATTTGATTTGAAAATTTATATATTCACAGCAGACATAGATAGAGGAGATACATATATAAAAAATTCTAGCTAAACAATCAGAGGTATGGAAGATATACCTTATATAGCACCAATCTAAGTGATTTTCACTGCTGTGTGATCGTTACGTAAACCGGTAACACAATTTAATGGGTTTAGCTTCGTACACAAAGGAGATACATATATCGCAAAAACTGGTATCTAAACAATCAGTGGTATAAGAGATTAAGATTATACATCATAGATTTTGACGATTTTCTCAGTAGACTTTGTATTATTATTTAAAAAATAGCTTACGAAATTTATCGGTTTTAGCTGTCCAAATAAAGGAGTTTTACAGTAAAACCCCATATCTGAACAATCAGTTGTATGGNAATGGGGGCAATAAACAGCTTATAGTGACCCGATCTTTGTTTATTTTACTGTAAACTTTCTGTTGTTTCTAGCTGCATAGATCGAGTAGTTATAACAAAAAATCGCATATCTGAACAATCAGTTGTATGGTGGNGGTACTTACAAACATCGGACCAAAGTTATAATACCATTTCATGCTCATGAAAGGTATAAAAAGTCGGTTTTCTCGAGAATTATCAAAAACTATACTTCTATCTACTATTTACAAGACTTGCATCGATAAATTTTCAAAACAATTTTGAAAATTTTTAGTTTCATGGTGTTTTGATGGATCTCATTTGATTGCCATCTCAACAACGAGACTTTCGACACAAGAAAACCCAGCTTATTGCCATTTTTCTGCATGTACTTACATAGTGGGCCGTATGAATAAAAACTAAGCAATTGCTTTTTCTTAAAATTTCATACCTTTTTCTTCAATTTTGCTTGAATAAATTGAGTAAAAGATCTAAAATTTTAAGAAAAAGCAATTGCTTATTTTTATTCATACGGCCCAGTATGTATATGTACATATCTAGGGGGTACTGTATTTATATAATTTCTAAGTGTTTTTGTTTATCTTTGCTCTTTTCTATGCTGGTATTTAACCGAATGTCAGCAAATGTGTCTGGGCCGAGATAATCATATGTGCGCGCACGAGCTGATATACATATTTACATATGTAAATAACATATATAAGAATATGCTTTTACATACATATCTATATACATAGAAACACATACATATCGTCGTTTAAAGTACAAAACCGCGTATCAACGAAATGCAAAACCGCGTATGTGAGGTTGCATAAATTATTTTTTTTAGAGAGTAAAAACACTCATATTTCAAAATGGTTCTCTTTTTTATAAAGAAATTGCATTTCTGGCTACTATATTTCAGAATATATGGATAAGGATTGAGCCAAGAGCGTGTGTGAGCAAATCCAATTTTTGGCAGCAAATGTCAATTACGCGATTTTGTACTTTAAACGACGATATGTATGTATATGTACATACAAATGTGTGTGAAATCCTTCGTAGGGAAAATTAAACCAACTTCAAAATGAAAAAAAAAAAAATTCTGAAGAAGATTAACTTATATATTATATACGTGCATACATACATATGCATACATGTATGCAAAATAGATTAAGCGTATAAAAATGTCCTGAATAAACAAATGGTCAGCCACCATATTTTCGTTGAATTTAAAACTGCTTTCGGTACTTCGAGGGAACTCTGTAAGCAAAAAGAGCATTGAGAGAACAGTGCTGGAGGTGTTCAGCAGTACAATGCCAGCAAAAGTTTTTAGGTGTGAAATATATTTTAAATTTTACAAACATAATAGGCCGTATATAACCACAGTACGAGCCTATTCACTCCCCTATTCTACCCAAAATTACCTAAAGCTCTTCTTAACTTTTTTGTTGCCATAGGTCCAACAGAAGTGCTGTGAAGGTCAAACTTTCAGGTTGCAGTGCACAACTATCTATCTAATAGATCTGGCGTGAGGGCCAATTCTATTATGACAAAAATAGTCTTGGTAAACTTTGAATGGCTGGCTTAAAAAGCTCTAATCTATCGGAAACTCTAAAAGTAAGGTTATTAGTTTTGAAACCGTAAATACATACAATACAAAAGTATCTGTGAAGTGCAGAACCAACCCAAACGAAGAAGAAAATTGATTGAAGTTGAACATTAGCAGACACATTTATAAAGCGGCTGTAGCTGGGTATGCAGAGATGCTCGCTATTATTTGCCTACAACATTCAGAAGATGCGGTTTCAAATATCGTCAGAGGCAACTTGTTAAAATGATAATAACAATTTTTGTTTTGTATCTCCGAATTATGAAGAAGCATCTGTGAAGTGCAGAACATAAACGCATTCAAACGAAAGAATCGACAACCAAAAATTTGGTTAATGTAAACAAATGTGTGCTTAATATTATCAAATTATTGGTGAAAATATCAACCGAGGCATTCGGTTCGGTGATTCTATTTCAAGTTTGATTTTGGTATTATTAATCAATTTTTGGTTGATTTTTTTCTCAGTGAAAATAAAAGTTACTTTTAGTTTTGTAAATATGCAGCAAACGTAATTCACATAGGAAGCATATGCCGCAAATATGTAAATATAAAAATATTAAAGCAGATCCTACGACAATACATAAATAAATAGCAACGACATTACATGATATACAAAACAGCAGGTAAATAATATTTGCATAAATAAGTTACACCACCATTAACAGTATACACCCTTTATATAGCAACATATGAAAAAATATGTACAAGCACGTACATACATGCATACATATACAGTATTGACACAGTGAATTTTTCGCAATATATGCAAAATTTTTACACTTATTTATTTTCTGCGCCAAAAAACATAAAAATAAAATCTCTAAACTTTGTGCAAAGCTCAGGAAAATTCAATAAATTTGCAACTTCTTATTCAGATTTTTATTCAGATTTTAGAAAAAGTTTTAGTGTGCAGTTTCAAAGAAAAACAAACGAGTTTCTCTAGCAATTTTAAACTTGCACTTTGTTATACTAAAATTTAATGGGCTAAGAAACTGCACACTAAAAAGTTTTCTAAAATTTATATTTTTTTTAATGTTATTCGGTGTAGAATGAGCTATATTTTAGTAAAAAATTAGAATAAAAAAAACGTTGGATATATTGCGAAAAATTCACGGTGCCAATTCTTTTGTTCGTCACTGTATGTATACCAAAGACTCAACACATAACTTCTGTATCTTCGGGCGATGTAGTACAAGCATAAATAATTGTGTGCAAACATTAATTTTAACCAACAATTTGCGGTAAAGTGGCATGCTTTTATACTACATAGATATATTACAACGAATTGGCCACACACATACCTTATGGCCACATAACGCCATATCGCCAATGTCACCGTCAGTCCAATGGAAATTGTATGCAGGATTTGGGTGAAATGCATATGGAAAAGGATGAATACCGCCCAAGCGTAACTAAAATCCTTCTCGCCTGTAACAAGATGTGATTATAATGTAACACATGTGATTATAATGTAACACAGATTAATGCAAATTTGTGTTTATTAGAAATTGTGTGTGCACTTAAACTGTACGCTCATTAAGGTGGTCCAAAAATGCATGTGGGAAAAAGTATAGTCGTAATTTTAATGCTCACACCCACCAGGATTGTTCTAAATCGAAAAAAATAAACCCTCTTTTTTATTTCGAAATAAAAAAAAAATATTTAGAGGTCGTTTAAAGTTTTCCATGTATTCTATATGGGGGAAAAAAATATTTTCGTGGAAACGGTATACAATTTTTGAAAATCAATATTTTCGGTGAATTCTGTTCTCTGCAGCATACATTCAGTAATAGAACGAAATTGTTTATTTGAAAATTTTTTAATACTAACTAATTTTTATGAGTCCCTCCATTGCATTTTTTTGAGGTTTTTAGGGGACTAACAAAAGTTTTTTTTTAATAAAACTGGTTAAATAGCTGGGTATTATTATTAAATGTCTCCTGAAGTGAAATAAAGTTTTCCAATCGAAAAATATAAATTTTTGAATTTTATACCATTTCATGATTTCAAAATAAAAAAAACAGCGGTTATATTTTTTTCGATACAGTACAATCCTAGAGGGTGAGAGCATTAAATTTCCGACTTTTCTTATTTCGAACCACCCTAATATATCTACACTTAAGAATTGCAAGAAGTTAAAGTCTGCTATGTCTACTTAAATAAGTATTATATATATTATTTATGCATGTATGTTCATGTATGAACGCTCTACTCACCTGGTTTCATATAGATATACTGATATGATGCAAATGGTATATACTCGATCATCACAAACATATCTGCTATTGCCAGCCATTTGAGTATTTTATTAATGGGCGCTTTGGCCATATCCTTTTTGGTTAGCACGATTATGTTCAGAATGTTCGCAATTGTGCCGAATATACAGATCTGCGTGCAAAAAAAAAAAGAGAATACAATTTGAATAAAATTACAGATAAATTAACAATTGTGGTAAATAGAAGCCATAATTTAAAGAGATAAAACAGATGCTCGTAATTACAAAGACCCCATAGAGAAATGAACTGGTAGCTAAATGTGGATTTTCTAGTGAATGTGACAATATGCCTTACTACATGTGTGGTAGGGAAAGTCAAAGAAGCCCACACACACACACTCGTACAGGAGACCCCCAAAGTTTTCAGACCTTTTAAAATGGACAAGACATTTCTATAACAATTTTTTTTTTTTAATTTAAATGAAAAACACTAGTTTTATTATTTTGTTAAATACTTTTTATGTAGTAAAAATCATAATTCCTTCAACAAAAAAAAAGAACTGTGATTTCAAATGTGCGCTTTATTAAAATATAATGGGATACAAAATTGCATATTTTCATAATAATCTTTTTAAGAAATCTTTTTTAAAAATTTAAAATTTTACGAAAGTTTGTTGAATGCTTTTTAAATGTCGCACAAAGTTTGAAACTTGAATTTGTACGAATTTAGTAGAAGAATAAGTTGCATCTACCAAATCTTGTGATGAGAGAAATATATTTAGCTGACCCTTTTCTCAGTGCGGCCAAGAATAAAAAAAATGCAAAGTTACAAACCACAAAGTCTGAGTAATGGGTTTAAACGATAAATGTCCAACTAAGAAACATTTAAACTATAATGAAAACTACATCCAGAAAAAAGTCAGCTAATTACATATATTTCTCTCAACACATGATTTGGTTATTCTTACATTAAATATTTGAGTATATATTTGAAATCAAGTGTGGAAAGAAATATTTTTAGATAATTTTTTTCTGGGTGCATGGGAGTTGTAAGCTGGCGAAGTAATTTGTATAAAACCCCCATCAAATTAGGATCTTTTTTCATTCACTTTGAAATGGAATATAATAAAAATGGAGAGTGCAAGACCAACGTCCTTTTTGCTCTTTAAAATATGGTATATATCCGATTTGGGAAGATCAAAAAAAAGTGCGCATCTCTGATACATATATTTTTCCATCACATGGAATCAAGGTCCAATAAAAATTAACGTGAATTAAAAAAAATCCTTTAGAGGAGAATGTAGTAAATTACATAGAAAAATGTGCTGCATGGACCTCACTTTTTTCAAACATTTGTTTATATATGTCTAAGATCCGATCTCTACTAAAATTTCATTATTATACTTTTTGAGATAATAAATAAGGCGCACACTTAATTTCATTTAATTCGCAGCTCTTTTAATTTGTCCGCCTAATAGCGTAGAGGGCGTGGCAGTTGTCCAATTTTCACCATGTTTCAGATTTCTTCCTTCCACAATAAATGAAATTCCTCTAGTGAATTAAAGCGAAATTTAGTATTTTTGGCCGCAGCTTGTATGGAATCGCGACACTGTGTGTGGTCCGTTCATTGCCAGCGGCCAGTTTATTTATGGTTTAAGTGGAAAAGGACTCACAAAACATGCTTTGGGAAAGGCTGTGGAGTTCACCAACACAACGTTATTCGGAAATATTGACTTAGTTCTAGCTCATGTGTAAGGTTAGAATCCAAATTCCAGCCTCTTTGGTGATCAGACGGAAGCGTAATCTACTCCAACTGGGGTCTTGAACTGGAACTGTCGGTTGCAGCTTGCCTCCTTTTGGTGGATGTTGATGAGTTGGTCTCGTTCTCTGCCTTACTCCTACATACCGACCTATATCGGCAGCCAGTTCGAAAACGCCCTATCTCAGAAAACTTATCAAAAACGCCCCATTTCAGAATTGGGTTGAAGAACAATAAATCGATGTAGTTTCGGTTTATCTGCCATTCTGCATCAAAAACTAAATTTCGAAGAAAATGGACTTGGCACCTTTTTACCTTTAGTTAGCGATATGTATGTATGTATTTACTTGTATATGGAGGAGAATTTCTGCACAACAAAAAATACGAACTTATTTTCATCTGTCATTGAAGTATTAAATAAATGCCATTGAAAGCCTTCTTTTCGACGCCATTTAATTTCATATCAACGCGCTTTTAGTACGTACATATGTACATACATGCATACTTGTTCATACATAAGTAAGTACGATAAATAAATACTTAAGTAACAATCTAGTGTATTTGTATGTACTATCCGGTCATTTGCTGTAATTAGCGTCATTAGTGACCACTTTCCTGGTGAAATTATTCATTTGGTGGTTGCTCTCGCTACTTACCTAAGTGATGTTCGTAACACGGACCATTCCACGAAAAAGGTACATCGCATTTTCATCGCTGGTCTAATTATTTTTCCGGACGAATTTTTTAGCGGAAATGTTTTTTTTTTTTTATTAAATTAAAACATAAATATAATTTTTACATATCCGAAAAAAGTTTCCGTTTTTGTTAGTACTTTACCATACACATACTTTTTACTTCGCCTTAAACTAAAACCGTAAATTGGAAAAATTCATACAATTTGTGCCGCACCCACGGTGGAATGCCTCAGCAAAGCCACCCAAACAAATTGTGTAAATTAGTAGGTACTTATTATACTTTTCCGAATAAAGCTTTATCCTCCAGGGCTTCGCTCGTTACTGCGATAAAATCTGGTAGTAAATATTAAGAAAAGGAAGTATTTTTTTTTGTTTATAAATATTAATGGGCTCTTGTATGACCTTGTTTAGTTAGAAATGCACAGCTTCAGGCTCATACATATCTAAGTATATATGTATATATGTATGTATGTATGTACATATGTATACCTTTAAATTGAAGTAGTGCAATTTTATGTGGCCATCTCCATCGATTTGCTTCACTAGTAGCTTGATTTTTTTTTTTGGTGAAGGAGCAGGCTTTCATACAAAAGCAAATTTACCAAAACTTCGTTATCTTTCCCCTGTTAAGCCGAATTTCCACTATGCATTAAAATGACAAAAAAATGGTGACATTTAAAAAATGCCATGTGGAAACGAATGTAATGACAATTTTTCTAACGTAATGACAGGAATATTTTTTACCAAAAAAACTGGAATGATTAATTTGCTGTTTGCACAGGGGGGTCAGCCCAGAGGAAGG